ATAATATAGATCATGGAAACATAAATGCTGTCCTGTTTCTTGACCTCAAGAAGCAGTTTGATACTGTAGATCACGAAATCTTGTTAGGTAAGCTTAATGCATATGGCATCAGTTTGATACTGTAGATCACGAAATCTTGTTAGGTAAGCTTAATGCATATGGCATCAGTTTGATACTGTAGATCACGAAATCTTGTTAGGTAAGCTTAATGCATATGGCATCAGTTTGATACTGTAGATCACGAAATCTTGTTAGGTAAGCTTAATGCATATGGCATCAGTTTGATTCTGTAGATCACGAAATCTTGTTAGGTAAGCTTAATGCATATGGCATCAGTTTGATTCTGTAGATCACGAAATCTTGTTAGGTAAGCTTAATGCATATGGCATCAGTTTGATACTGTAGATCACGAAATCTTGTTAGGTAAGCTTAATGCATATGGCATCAGTTTGATACTGTAGATCACGAAATCTTGTTAGGTAAGCTTAATGCATATGGCATCAGTTTGATACTGTAGATCACGAAATCTTGTTAGGTAGCTTAATGCATATGGCATCAGTTTGATACTGTAGATCACGAAATCTTGTTAGGTAAGCTTAATGCATATGGCATCAGTTTGATACTGTAGATCACGAAATCTTGTTAGGTAAGCTTAATGCATATGGCATCAGTTTGATACTGTAGATCACGAAATCTTGTTAGGTATGCTTAATGCATATGGCATCAGTTTGATACTGTAGATCACGAAATCTTGTTAGGTAAGCTTAATGCATATGGCATCAGTTTGATACTGTAGATCACGAAATCTTGTTAGGTAAACTTAATGCATATGGCATCAGTTTGATACTGTAGATCACGAAATCTTGTTAGGTAAGCTTAATGCATATGGCATCAGTTTGATACTGTAGATCACGAAATCTTGTTAGGTAAGCTTAATGCATATGGCATCAGTTTGATACTGTAGATCACGAAATCTTGTTAGGTAAGCTTAATGCATATGGCATCAGTTTGATACTGTAGATCACGAAATCTTGTTAGGTAAGCTTAATGCATATGGCATCAGTTTGATACTGTAGATCACGAAATCTTGTTAGGTAAGCTTAATGCATATGGCATCAGTTTGATACTGTAGATCACGAAATCTTGTTAGGTAAGCTTAATGCATATGGCATCAGTTTGATACTGTAGATCACGAAATCTTGTTAGGTAAGCTTAATGCATATGGCATCAGTTTGATACTGTAGATCACGAAATCTTGTTAGGTAAGCTTAATGCATATGGCATCAGTTTGATACTGTAGATCACGAAATCTTGTTAGGTAAGCTTAATGCATATGGCATCAGTTTGATACTGTAGATCACGAAATCTTGTTAGGTAAGCTTAATGCATATGGCATCAGTTTGATACTGTAGATCACGAAATCTTGTTAGGTAAGCTTAATGCATATGGCATCAGTTTGATACTGTAGATCACGAAATCTTGTTAGGTAAGCTTAATGCATATGGCATCAGTTTGATACTGTAGATCACGAAATCTTGTTAGGTAAGCTTAATGCATATGGCATCAGTTTGATACTGTAGATCACGAAATCTTGTTAGGTAAGCTTAATGGATATGGCATCAGTTTGATTCTGTAGATCACGAAATCTTGTTAGGTAAGCTTAATGCATATGGCATCAGTTTGATACTGTAGATCACGAAATCTTGTTAGGTAAGCTTAATGCATATGGCATCAGTTTGATTCTGTAGATCACGAAATCTTGTTAGGTAAGCTTAATGCATATGGCATCAGTTTGATTCTGTAGATCACGAAATCTTGTTAGGTAAGCTTAATGCATATGGCATCAGTTTGATAATGTAGATCACGAAATCTTGTTAGGTAAGCTTAATGCATATGGCATCAGTTTGATACTGTAGATCACGAAATCTTGTTAGGTAAGCTTAATGCATATGGCATCAGTTTGATACTGTAGATCACGAAATCTTGTTAGGTAAGCTTAATGCATATGGCATCAGTTTGATACTGTAGATCACGAAATCTTGTTAGGTAAGCTTAATGCATATGGCATCAGTTTGATAATGTAGATCACGAAATCTTGTTAGGTAAGCTTAATGCATATGGCATCAGTTTGATACTGTAGATCACGAAATCTTGTTAGGTAAGCTTAATGCATATGGCATCAGTTTGATACTGTAGATCACGAAATCTTGTTAGGTAAGCTTAATGCATATGGCATCAGTTTGATACTGTAGATCACGAAATCTTGTTAGGTAAGCTTAATGCATATGGCATGAGTTTGATACTGTAGATCACGAAATCTTGTTAGGTAAGCTTAATGCATATGGCATCAGTTTGATACTGTAGATCACGAAATCTTGTTAGGTAAGCTTAATGCATATGGCATCAGTTTGATACTGTAGATCACGAAATCTTGTTAGGTAAGCTTAATGCATATGGCATCAGTTTGATACTGTAGATCACGAAATCTTGTTAGGTAAGCTTAATGCATATGGCATCAGTTTGATACTGTAGATCACGAAATCTTGTTAGGTAAGCTTAATGCATATGGCATCAGTTTGATACTGTAGATCACGAAATCTTGTTAGGTAAGCTTAATGCATATGGCATCAGTTTGATACTGTAGATCACGAAATCTTGTCAGGTAAGCTTAATGCATATGGCATCAGTTTGATACTGTAGATCACGAAATCTTGTCAGGTAAGCTTAATGCATATGGCATCAGTTTGATACTGTAGATCACGAAATCTTGTTAGGTAAGCTTAATGCATATGGCATCAGTTTGATACTGTAGATCACGAAATCTTGTTAGGTAAGCTTAATGCATATGGCATCAGTTTGATACTGTAGATCACGAAATCTTGTTAGGTAAGCTTAATGCATATGGCATCAGTTTGATACTGTAGATCACGAAATCTTGTTAGGTAAGTTTAATGCATATGGCATCAGTTTGATACTGTAGATCACGAAATCTTGTTAGGTAAGCTTAATGCATATGGCATCAGTTTGATACTGTAGATCACGAAATCTTGTTAGGTAAGCTTAATGCATATGGCATCAGTGGAGTAGCTGGAAATTGGTTTAGATCTTATCTTAGTGAACGTCAACAAATGTGTTGTGTTAATGGTCATTCTTCAAATAGTCATTTTCTTCGATGTGGAGTTCCCCAGGGAACTATATTAGGTCCACTTCTATTTTTAATCTACATCAATGACCTGCCTAATTGTCTTGTACATTCCCGTGCACGTATGTTTGCTGATGACACTAATTTGACATACGCAAGTAATAATATTTACGATATCAATCATAACTTTAATGAAGATCTTGCCCATGTCAGTGAATGGTTATCAGCAAACAGGCTTATTTAAATCAAACTAAACTGAATTCATGTTGATTGGCTCCCATCAAAGGATGAATACTTTTCACGCAACTCCTTCTTTAGCAATTAATAACGTTCCAGTTAGGCAAGTCTCTCACACAAAGTCACTGGGCACACATATCGATGAGAAGTTGTCCTGGAATGTTCACATTGAAAAATTGTGTAAAAAAGTTGCTAGTGGCATAGGTGCTTTAAAGCGCACAAGACCTTTTGTTTCACCTTCCACAATGCAACTGATTTACAGTTGTCTATTCCAGCCATATTTCGACTACTGCTCAGTTATCTGGGATAGTTGCGGGAGTACTCTTGCGGATAAAGTACAAAAACTACAAAATCGTGCCGCAAGAGTACTGACATCATCCAGTTATGATACAAATGCCGATTATCTGTTTGAAATACTTGGTTGGAAAAATCTTGTATCTCAGCGTAAGATTGCCAAAGCTATCATGGTATATAAATCTGTGAATGGCCTTGCATCCAGATTACCTCTCCGAAATGTTTGCTGATCGCAGTAACATTACAAATTATACGTTGAGAGACACCACCAGCAAACTAGCGATACCACAACCGCGTACAAACTATTTGAAAAATAGTTTTAGTTACAGTGGTGCGGTACTGTGGAATTCTCTTCCTACAGAATTACGGCAGGCTATAGCTCTTTACGTAAATTCAAGGCTGATTGTAGCAACTTCATTTGATAATTTTAATATTTTTACTCCTATCTACATTATTTTAATAATGCACGGCACTCATGGAAAACAGGTATTAATAATGTATTTCCATATTTTGTTATTTGTAATGTCCCTTGTCTATTTTATTGTAAATCCTGATGAGTCTACCGTGGTTAAATAAAGTTCACTTACTTACTTACTTACTTACTTACTTACTTGGTTTCCCTCTGCGCAGGAACCAATCAAAATGCTTCATTTTTCGGATGACATCCTTGCCATACAATAAAATTTGTTATTAGATATGCGCAGTAAAAGTGCGCAATGCAAAATTCTTTACCAGGCCCTAGGCAGTCGAAAGACGTTTTGAAAAAATCCGTCCACGCTCCGTATCATGCCTCTGCAGGTTTAAGGCCATTTCCCTCTTCGACCATATATTGTAACGTATCCTAGCGTTCTCTTTTGTGTCGAAGTCATATTGTAACGTATCCTAACATTCTCTTTTGTGTCGAAGTCATATTGTATCGTATCCTAGCGTTCTCTTTTGTGTCAAAGTCATATTGTAACGTATCCTAGCGTTCTCTTTTGTGTCGAATGCATTAGTTCCACTCTAGTGCTCTGCAGGAAACAAAGAAATGTGATACGGTTGAAGTGGAAAACGGTCTTTAAGCTTCGGTCAACTGACGAGGATGAGAGTTGATGAGAGTTAGCAGTAACGCATTGTTAAGGGGACATTTTATGTTAAGAAAATAAAGGTTTGATATGAGTTCCAACTATGTTTTAACTTCAATAGAATACATGATACTGTTGGAAAATCATCAAAAACAGCTGGCTAAGGTTGCGTGACTGCCCATTCACCTAAAGGAATATATTTTCTAATTGATTGGACAGTTCAATGACTTTGATATGCATACGTACTTTAATAGACCTTCACTTATACAGGGTGAGTAAAAAAAAACTGACACCTTTGTTATTCAAATTAGCCGCGAAGATATCAGTTTTTTTTACTCACCCTGTATACAGGGTGTCTGAAAAAAAAGGAGGAACCTTTAGAAATTCAACTTAAGTTTTATAATTTGAATTTGAATGAATCTGAGCAATATGCTGAACGAGTTTTTACTGTTTTACGCTCTGCGTTAAATTAATCATGCAGCACATATTCATATGTTAATAATACTACTACTAATAATAATAAAAGCATTTATTTTAACACGATAATGTTCCCGCAAGATCCCCATATCAAGATTCCGTAAGTTATAGAAGGTAAATCAACTTTGAAGTAGAAGTCCAGTTTTGCAATAATAGGTAAGAAGTATAATGATTTAAGGAGATTTAGTTTTTTGCCAAATGACAATCTATTTCTAGATCTAAGCATCTTGTTGACTCGACACGCGTTTTATCTGACTCTCACCTAACTTTAAGCACTGAAGAGGACTCATGATCATATACTCAGTTTTATCTGGATGAGGTGTTAATTGATGGTGGCAACGCCAGAGATACAGTTTACTCAAAATCTTGTTGAGCATTTCTGCAACAAGATCTTGCGTTGGTCCAATGGCATATTGCGTGGTATCATCTGCATACATATAAATATCTCCATCATCCGAATTATTGGTATCTGGTAGGTCGTTACAGAACAATGAAAACAGAATTGGACCAACAACAGATCCTTGCAGAACACCAAACTTTACTGGCATCGACTCTGACATGCAACCATTATATTACTGTAACCTGATGACGTTTGGAAAGATAGTTTTCAACCCAACACCAGAGATCACCCGATATACCAAGCTCTTGATGTAACTTCTAAGGAAAACTGGGTGGGAGATGGAATCAAATGCCTTCCGAAAACTGATCTACAAATAACCGACACCAACTACTAAATTGTTGAACGAAACCTAGCCTAATAAACAGCTGCCTATTATTCGAGGCGGCTGTTTATCAGGCTAAACGAAACCAAGCACTTTTAAATAACTCCATGCATAAAATTCGATTCAATTGTGTTTACGCACCCATGGGTTCAATATTCCGGATGTGTAAAAAAGGAAGACCTTTAGAAATTGTCCTATCGTTATAATTTCAATGCCTGTACCGTGCTAAGTGTACGCATGCGTAAAATATTAACAGCTACGTACATACATTACAATATATTTACAATATATTTGTTGTATGCACAAACGAACAGTGCTTTGGGTTGAGAAAAATGAGGGCCACGTCGAAGGACACGGTGTTTGATATTTTGATAGATCGGTTTCGTTCAACATATAATTATATATGTGCTGATTAATTTAACGCAGCGCGTAAAGCAGTAAAAAGTCGTTGCAAGTCGTGCAATTAATGATTAACACTACTTGTGATCAGTTTGAAAAATGTGCCAAATTGCACTCGGCTCGACGGCTCGTGCAATTTTGGCACATTTTTCAATTATCACTCGTAGTGTTAATCATTAATTGCACTCCTTCCCGTGTGATTACCTACACTTAATATTGACTCGCCAACGACCCGCATTACGGATCGTCGCTAAATAAATGTCGCTAAAAATTGTCCTGCGTTTGGCGTCATTATAAGAGTTACTCAAATACATATAAAAGAATTGAACTGTCCTATCAATTAGAAAATAATTATATTCTCTTAGGTGAGTTGGCAGTCATAAATTCAGGCTTTTCTCAATAAAATAAAGGTCTATACTATTCTTCCAGCCACATGTTATGATTGAACTGCAATTCGTTCCCAGCGCAGAACGCGTCATTTGGATGCGCATTTGAAACTCGGATTTCCTCTAATACACTCTCATCCTCTAATGCACTCTCATCCTCTTTTGATCTGGGCGTTAAGCTTTCAGTGCGGTGAATATTAACCAGTGATGTCATCAATTTTGACTGGGACATATACCATTAGTTCCCATAGTCTTAGTTAACAAAAATAAATTGTGCCATACTAGCTCTTAGTTCAAAAAAATTAATTGTATCTTTAAAAATCGTTTACATTATCAGAACTTTGATATGAAAGTATATTTTGATTAAAGAAACTTTCAATAATGCAAAACAACATTTTGTAAAAGCTAGCCTGCGATATTTCAACCAATATATAATCGCAATCTGACAATCTTTATAACGTCAAATGATAATTATGCAGAAACGTACAGTAAACACTCGAGTTTTAACGTATATGATACATTGATAAAAAAAACACATTTCATTAACAACCGACCAGAGCCTTACGTTAAAACCAACTGCTAAAAGAGTAAATGTTAAACCGTTAAAAGTTAAAAGAATACAGCTTAAACCCGAAAACTGATTTTGTAACTTGTCTTCGAGCCGTCACTATGGCCATGAAACTATTAATCGTAATTACTACACTGGCATTACATTATGCTTACGAATACCAAGATGCGAATATTTTAGAGCAAAATACGTTTAGAAAACAGCAAAACACACGGTTTGTACAACAGCGGACCACTGGAATGTTCCAAAAAGGGAGAATGGTTAAGACGAGCAGGACGATTGATGTTGATGGTAGTAACAGCAGGAAGTTGAGTGGTGGTAAACTGGGATATAATTCAAACAAAATAAAAGAGCGAGCTTTTAATGTTAGTGCACTGAAAAGGATTGCTTTCAAGAAACAACAAAAAATGGATTTCAAGAGAGTAAGACGGGAAACCACACACCAGAATACAACAGAGCAAAGTTTGCAATGTGAAGTGGTCTCATTATCATGTAGGAACTGCTGCGAGAACTCGAATAACTGCCCTCATAAAACAAACTTTTGTCGTTGCGACTCACTGTGTACATTCTACAACGACTGTTGTGTTGATTTCCAAACATTTTGTGGGACGAGAAAGGAAATTTCGTTCGGAGTTGATCCGCAACAACTTTCTTGTATGGCGCCGAGGCATGTTGACACGAGAAGCCGTGAATCGGATCACATTTGGATGGTCAATAAATGTCCAAAGAATAGAAAAATTGATGACATATCACGCAACTGTGAAACTGCTGATGGTATAAAATTATTGAATATAACGACTATGCGAAAACTCCTTCCTGTTGTGGATAAAAATACTAACTTACTATTTAGAAATGAGTTTTGTGCCCAATGCAATGGTATTGAAAAGTTTGAATATTTTGGTTTTAATATGAGATGCTATGTAGTACCACCCGCCACAATTACTTCGTTTGAAGAGCTGGTCGAATTTGCTAAATTATACTGCGAAACAAAAGAATTCATATCCATTTTCAGAGACGTTCATCAAGCAGTGCGTGAATGCATTCAATATTTTCGATACCTCTGCCCAACTCTGAAAGAACTGAACGAAAAATGCGATCGACATATCTTGTCCACATATCACTGCATTTCTATAACACATTGGTGTAATTTAAATATATCGAAATGGGACGTCCTGGCATATGACAGATGCATGCAATCAAGTGAGTCTCTATCAGATATGCCGGAAGAGGGACCCACAAGGATCGAACATGCAATAGCATCATTTACAGTTGTCCTTCGTTTATCCAAAGGTGCTCCTTTTGCAAAAGTACAAGGAACACGATGCATGAATGGACTGTTTTATGATCCTTATCTTGAAACATGTCGATATGGCGAGTCCATTCGTCCGCCATTAAAGGAAAACTTTGACAGATTTGATGTTGTGGTCTGGCTTGATATAAGAAATTTTGAAACACTCGTTTCGATCTATTGGACTATGCCTACTTTGAACGAAGCCATTTCTTCCCTTGCACAACTTTTCAACTTCAAGTACTCTCAAGTAAGTGCATTACAATATATACCAACTGAAACTGGCAAGCGTCCTGAAACACAGATCATGCGTTTCAAACTTGAGCTGACAGACGAACAGACATTACGCTTGGGAAAGGCCAACAACAACACATTATCACATTTTGAAAAACATCCAAAAAATTCGACAAATTATCTTCCGCTTCAAAGACTTCTGTTTTTCTCAGGAAAATTTAATATTACTGTTTCTAACGAGATAGTTACTATATTTAAAACAACCTCTCGTCAGCTCGAGTGCATCCGGAAACACACATTTTTACAAGGTAATTATACTTCAGTGCAGAATGGGAAATATTATTTTATTAATTCAACTGGTAAAACATTTGCAAGAAACCAAGTTTTTCTTGGAGAGAACAAAAGTATTTCAGTTTGCGAGCGGATTGTTTTCTCAACTTGTGTTGGACGAAGAATTAATTTGACGTCGGACGAATACGTAAAGTTTGAGAATTTGAGCATCTTTTACAATAGAACAAAAAAGATTTATGACTTTGGTGAATACGATATCGAAGATGGCAAGATTTTTATGTGTATTCCTGAAAAACCTTCTGAGCCAATTCATGCGATGCCGAGTGATTCCGTGTTTATCGAGACATATTTAACTTTGATTTGTGTTGGTTTATCTTTGGTCAGTTTATTCCTGGTCATTCAGACATACCTCATATTTGCTGAGCTTCGTAACCTGCCTGGCAAAAATCTTCTAAGTTTGTCATTGTCGTTATTTCTAGTGCAGTTGCTTTGGTTAATTCCAGATGCGTGGTACCCATCCACATTTTGTCTCGTGGTAGCAGTTTTGAAACATTATTTATTTCTTGTATCATTCGTTGCCATGGCAGCAATTGCGTGGGACTCGTACACGGTGTTTGCCAGCAAAGATTTTGGAATCCGAAAAGATTCGGCGTCCACGAAACCTGAGAATAAGAAATTTTACAAATGCTCAGCGATCGTCTGGGGTCTCCCAGCCATGTCTGTTGTCGCGTGCACAGTCGTTGACCAGAAAGATATTTACGCAGTTTACGTTAATGAGCTGTGGTGTTGGTTTGATAATATCCAAGCGCAAAAGTATCTCTTCGTCGTTCCTGTTGGACTACTCCTGTTATTCAATGTCACATTCTTCGCTCTGACTGTATTTTGTATGCAACGTAGTCACTCAAGAACAAGATTAATCCTCTCAGATGAAAGTCATAAAACAATGTTTTGGATCTATCTCAAACTGTCTGCTTTGATGGGATTCAGTTGGTTGTTTGGTTTAATATATCTGCTCTGGAGGACACCCGTCTTCTCGTATTTGTTTGTAATTTTCGCATCACTTCAAGGTGTTTATATCGCTCTTGCTTTTGTCGTGAAAAAATCTGTTTGGGAAAAGTATAAAAAACTATTCGGAAGACAGAATAAATATCAACCAGATTATCGAAGAAAATTGTGCAAAAGCAGGGAAACAAGAGTGTAGTCATGGGGGTAAGTGTAAATTACAGTAAGCTTGTTAATGTTTTATTTTGCTGTTGGGATTACATAGCCATTAAGATAGCTAGGTAGCAGATGGTGGTAGATTATTGTAGATCTTTAAGCCTAGCTGTTACTCAAAATACGAAATGCTGAATACAAGTGCATGCAGACACTTTATATTCATTTGTCATCAACAAATACTACGTACACTCCTATATAACTGGAATTAATTCAACGACGGCGAAATTCTTTCGCGAGAAACTGTGTCTGCGACTAAATACGTTGCGCACGTGTGATTCTATTGATTTTTCCCACTTTCGCTTTCGCCGTGAGTAGAAAAGAGCTCGCGGAATCAGGCCTTTGGAAGGTTGACATATAAAAAGAAACAAATTCCGAATAAAAAATGCCAGCCGTTGAAACTCAAGATTTGAATTCAGACAAGATGAACGTTTGAAACTGTGAATTTTCGAATTCGATCGACTTTAGTTTCAAAGTCATCATCATGAGACAAAATGAAATACAATACTTTACATACAACACTCCGCATACAGCATGTACAGAGCAAGAGCGAGAGAACACACGTCCTTCCTAAAGTATCGTATTTCATTCTGTCTGATGATGACTTTGAAACTAAAGTCGTAAATTAACAGTTTCAAACGTCGTCTTCTATTAATTCAAATCTTGAATTTCAAGATGGCATTATTATTCGGAATTTGTTTCTTTTTATATTTTCTTAAATTGTCGTAATGTACTTATATATACAGGGTGTATCAGAAGAATAATCCATGGGAGTGATCTTGTGGGCTTGATATTGAGTGTACAGATTTAATCTTTTCACAGTAATAAAGATTAGGGTTTTAGTTTTTTACACCTTTTTTGTATCATTTCAAGCAAAAATTACCAAATACGAGATTTTTCACTGAATGTCGGTCGAAATCACTTTTTCCATCTTTGCGCCGTTATTAATTATGGTAGTATACATATAAAAAAAGCAATTAATTACTGATGTGTCATGCCAAACAATAAACTTCAAACAGAAGTGACCACATGGTTAGGGCTTGTTAAATTAAAATTTATGAATTTTTTTATCAAATGTGATCACGGATACAAAAAAGTATCATTGGACTACTAAAAGCCTGAATTTTATTGCTGTGTAAAAATTATATGGATAATCTCATGCATGCAATATCGTCGATATCTAACGCAGGGGAATATATGCATTATGGCGCTAAAGCTGGACCGTGAGCTGGATTACCTTTTCTTATACTCATACACTCTGACGTAAATCAATGAGACCTTTCTTAGAATGACGTCAAACGCGGAAAACCAATCTATGTGGCGAGCCAATAAATTTCATGAAAACATTTGCGAACTGTCGCTAAAATTTGTCCCTTGGTTCCATCGCATTAAGCCCGTTCTCCCGCTAGGCGAATTTTTCCGCGACGCGAAGCGAAAAACAAACTCTTGGCAATGTGATAGGTCAGCGAAAAAATTCGCCGCGAAAAAGTAGGATCAGTTCCTACTTTTCTACTGTTCGCGCGAACAAATTCGCCCAGTGGAGAACGGGCTTTAACCGAGTGTTTTCCCGCCACGTTTGGCGTCATTACAAGAAAGGTCTATTGTGAGTGAAAAAATGAGTTCATTGCATGTAAAGTGCAGGTTCTATGAACGTGAAGAATGGATAGTCAACCACTGACCTAAAATTTAAAAGTTTCACAGTTATTTAAAAATCTGAGAAGCCCGATTACGTTTATAGCGCGCCATTTTGTTCCTCGTTTGCTTCAGGATGTAACGAATATAACGTAGTTATCTGGCATTTGTAACCGTCACCTCTTGCTTTTTCGTTTTTAAAAAAATAGAGGCATTTTCATGTTTCATATAAACAAAGCCCAGCCATTACAGAATTAAGAAACTACTTTTCATCTGAATTTCCGTATTCTACATTAGAAAATACTAGCCTCCTCCGCAGGCCTCCGACTACCCGATTCCTCGGGTGAGATGTCTGCGGAGGAGGCTAAGAAAATACGTACATGGAAAGGTTTGTACATATAAAAAATCCCTATCTAATATATTCAGTCTCTAAAATTGCGAAAAATGTACTGTCAACTTTAACTTTGTTCTCTTCCTTTGTAAATATAAATTTTTACTATTATACACTCTTCCGTATTGTACAAGTCTGGCGAACTGTCTTTATCGAACTGCCAATTAATTAATTAATTCATTGAACTATACAACGATAACTAGGGGCAGTTAAAGGGGCCCTACAGTCATTTTTTATCAAATTTACATTTTTTGTTATTGTCGCTACTTGACATGCGCACCACGGCATGCATGCGTCTTCCAGTGTGCGGAAGTACTCATACTCATGGATACTGCACGTAAGATACAGCCAAACGAATCTCCGTGGAGTCCCCTACTTAAGGTGGCTTTTCGATCTAAAAATGAAAGCATTAGGCTAGTTCTACTATCTGACCAAGTTTGAACGAAAAATGTTGAAAACTCTCAGAGTTATTTAATAAAATACATTTCGCTGCAATAAGAAAAACATTGAAAATGTAATATTCAAATTCAATTTTCTCACGAAAAATTTTACGGTAATTACTGATTTTCAAACGAGTTATGCTCCTGCGGGTTTTAACCAATTTTTCTCAAATTTTCACAGGACATAGCTAGATACGTCAGTTTCCAAATCGTGTTCGGCTTTTTTTTAATTTTGGATATTTTAAAAATAAAGAGCAATTCACTCAAACAATTCAGAAATATATTGCAGTCGTCAAAGAAATTGCCATATCAGCGGAATGACGAAATAAAAAAAATTTCCGAACACAGTTTTTTAGAACAACTATTTTACTGTATAAAAATGATATTTTCATAAATATAACTTAAAACCAGCAGGAGCACAACTCAAAAGCGTAAAGGTATCGCGATTTAAGATTTTCCTGAATAATTCTTACATTATTTTATTGCTTGTTAATTTTACAACTTTACCATATTTTGCATGCACTGGAGAACATTTGGTGAAAATTTGATGAAAATCGGACTGATATTGAGCGCGCAGTAGCGATTTTCCGCAAAACGCCAAAAAGGGTGTCCTGTAACCTTAATAAAGACCCAGGGCGTTGATTGGATCATTTCCGGCACGCGCCTGCAATTAACTCATCGGTGCTCCCCCGCCATTAAATTCGCATAAGGCGACTGAAGACGACGCAACCTCCGTCGCAGGGACTTTCCACCCTGGGTACGAGCATGAAGACGAGGCAGCATTAAGCTAGGCAGCAACACAAATTACCTTGACCTTAGACTTGTTCTAAAGGTCCAGACACAGGACGCGATTCGACAACGCAACGCGATTTTTCGGTTTTCACTGACCGATAAGTTTGATCCTAGTTCAAATTTTCCAAATATTTAGAAGCGATATAACATTTTGAGTTTTTTGGTCTTCATATCTTTTAAAATTTGCTCTCATTGGCTGTTTTATTAACTTTCAAAAACTAAGAAATCGCGTCGAATCGCGTCCAGACCTTTAGAGCAAGTCTAAGGTCAAGGTCATTTGTTTGCCTCTCAAAGGGTTTTATCATCAGGGGCCGGTTGTTCAAAGGTGGGTTAGCGCTAACCCTGGGTTAAAATTTAACCTGCTGTTTTAGCTTGTGTATTTCTGCACGTCTGTTTATTTGAAAACTTCAGAGAAGTAAACTCCTATGGATCCAGACAAGATCTCTGAAGAAATAGTTCCAAATTTACAGACAAGCTGTCAGGAAGTTTGCTTTGAATTTTAGGTTAATCCAGGGTTAAGCTAACCCAGCTTTGAACAACCGGCCCCAGTGGTTTACTGCCTGGGGCCGTTGTATAAAACTCTTAATCACTTTTTTAATCACTATTTTGTAGTTAAATAGTGATCAACTTTAATCACGTAGTTAACTCGGTTGTTTTACGGTATAGTCACAGAATAAGAAAGTACAGCAGAAGTGTCACTCAGGCAAGTATTTGTCCGCGTTTTGACAAGCGATTCGTCATCAATCACGCCATCCTGGCTAGTACAACCGGCACTTTGTACCTACCAAAACCTGATAAAAACTTCCGGTTGTACTAGCCAGGATGGCGTGAGCGAGTTAAAATTTTCGTGGACGTAAAACAATAAGGGAACCGACTCGAGTGACGCTTCTGCTGTACCTTCTTATTCTGTGGTATAGTTAACTTCTCGAAACGTAGCCAAAAATGGCGCTTGTATAGGAGGGAACAACATTTTTCAGTAAAACAATAATGAAAAGCAACGCTTACCTGGGATTTTCAATCGCTATCTTCCCTGTGAATGTTTCCTGACAATATAAACTCTTCAAACGCTATCGCTTTTGTTTTTTGGCGAAAACCAAATATATTTTTGCACTCGGGACGATTTCTCGAAGACGACGTTAATCACATTTTACTTTATGTAATTTTACCGTTTAACCACCCCACGCAAGTTAACTACGTGATTAGTTAATCATCCGACAAACTACATTTCGTGCAACGCAATAGCTAGACCTAATTTCCCCTTATGAGTAAAATTTTGATGTAGACAAGTCTGGACAAAAATTTCATCACAGCTTGAAAGAGCATCACAAAATTAGTAATATTCCGAAGTTTCGTTGCGAAATGTTGCATAATGCGGATAATATAGCCTTGCGAAGTTTGCCGTTTTTCAGCATTTTGCATTACAAATGAAATTGGTGATCAGTTTGATCATCTGATTACCAATTCCCCAGCCTAGTCCCAGGCTCTCTCTCTCTCTCTATTCGCTGCTTTGATATATTTAAATAAGTCTTAAAAGTTTTATGCCTGGATGTGCTGTGCGCACAGCGAGAGAGCCTAGCAGATTTCGGTAAAATGGTCCCTGATTTCAAAAAAGTGGTCCCTGGCCTGGTTACCAAGCATACCTCATTTGTAAATGGAAAACGTTATGGAAATTCCTTTGCAGTTTGCATTTATAATTAAGTCATTAGTTTTGCTTTAATGCTGTCGGAACAATGAAGTAGGCTACGTTTCTGCGGTCAGAATGGAATAACGGGCTTAAAATGACTCGTGTTTACTAAAATATATAGCCATATTAAATGCTATCTAGAAGCTTGAAAATTATGCCGAGTCTCCGACTAAGAATGTTTTGACAACACCGTCATGTCAGGCAAATATTCCCAATCTCCTCAGCAATTTAAACCTGTCAAGTAGAAAGCGTAGTTGTGTATACCAGTATACACCCTTTTCATAAATGACTGCCGATTAAAAATTCTTTTATGTGCATATAAATTGGCCCAACTAGCCTCGTTTCTGGGTAGAAATTCCTTCGAAATCTTAACATAAGTACGAGGATAGTTGGGCCAATTTATATGCACATATATAAAGAATTTTTAATCGGCAGTCATTTATGAAAAGGGTGTATGGTCTAGTGTTGATCACAACTTGCGAGTACATAAATAACATCAACGATTGCTCAAACTCGGTATCGTAAATTTGTATATAATTTTTTTTAGTTGAGCACATTTTTAATTAATACAGTTTGATTTGGTTATGTAGACATCGAACATGTACATGATGAACGAACATTGTCGTATTTATAATTAAAAGGTTACTTGCATGTATATATAAATTTTCCGCCATATTAAAAATACTGAAATCTGCTAGGCGTTCTGAAGCACCTTGAGCGGTGACGTCACACCTAGGTCCCAGTCTCGTACTACATCCACTTTTTTCTCGCGCTTGCTTCAGAACGACTGGGACTAGGCTGCCAATTCCCGTTTGTAATACAAAATCATAGTTAAGGATTTAACTACAGTGATTAACGCTAATCATTAACGACGTTTTTATACAACCGGCCCCTGGTTTTTAAGGTCGCGCGAAAATATGCGGGATGGATGAAAAACCACTTCGATAGGCAGAACGTCGAGCAAATCTAAGAGGCCGAACATTACAAAAGTGATGGGGGTGGGGTGGGAATTTTCAGGTGGGAATTTTTTCCCGTCCGCTTGTGCTGGAATTTTTTACTGAATTTTAAACGTATTCTTCTTTGCCTTCCTCTTGCCCGATTCTTTTTCTTCCTTTGCGCGAATTAATTACCTCCGCCAGGAGGTTATGTAATCATCTGGGTTTTTACCTCCGCCAGGAGGTTATGTAATCATCTGGGTTTGTATGTGTGTGTGTATGTGTGCGTGTGTGTGTGTATGTGTGTGTGTTTGTCTGTGAGCACGATAACTCAAGAAATACCAAACATATCCGTACGAAATTTTGTGAGTGCATTTCCCATCGGCTAAGGAAGAACTGATTAAAATTTGGTTGAATTTGGTTAAAAATTGAATGAGAAATAACAAAAGTTTGTCTTGCTTTTCCCGGTCAATTAAATAAAACTTTATACTGAATGCGTAATTAGGACGTGCATAATATATGCATCAGCCATTCAAATTCTAATAACAATAGATTACTTCAATATTTTGCGCGTAGGCGGAGGTATGCAGTCTCTGAGTGTCTTCTAGTTTCTTTTGTTTTCCATCACCATAATTTTTCTAATGGTCCGCCCTAACCTTGACCTGTACCTTGACGCAGGAACTCATTCTATAATTGCCACTTGAAGCTGTCTGCACTCATATTGTCTTTCATGTCTCGTATAGAATTTCATTCTAGACATTAACACAAACATAAAGCTGCACACATACTTGACAAAATAACATGTTGGCATCGATATTTTCAAACAAACCACACAGGTATAGTGAATTTCAAGCACATTTTCAAATACTACGATCTACAGGATAAATTGTACTGAGGAAAGTGTATCCGTGAGTTCAGTCTCGTTCCGTGACGCAAACGGTGTCTGTGCGTCAAACTGTGTGTATACACGCGAACACGATATACAGAGGACATTCAGATAGAAGGCAACTCTATGTTTACAACATTCGCTGTTCCTACAGTACGTCTAACGATGTCATCGCGAAGACGAGGGGAAGACATGAGTCTGTACGACTTTGCCAAGAAATATCAAGAAAATCAGAGTAGTTCTGAATTAGTAAAGAAACAAAACGCCAGCGAAGATAAAGTGTTGTCAGCCAGATTGGAATATCTAAACAATCAAAAGGTTTTGACTATGAAAACTTTGGAGAAAGAGATAGACCTCATTAAGAGACGGAAAATGTATGGTTTGGATCGGAGTGTATCATCTCATCATTTTGATCGAGCTTCCTTACCCAATACTCCCAGGAGATGGACTAAAGATAATTTCTCCCCAGCAAAGTTTGTCAAACGTAAAACTCTACCACACCCGGTATCAAGAAAACAAAAACATCGCACAACTGGTAGAAATGTGATTAGTGACACCACTGGGAACATTTATGAAAGAAACACTCCACCGTCAAGAGAACAGAAAGACAACGAAGAAACGCTAGTTGACAACGGAGACTGTCATGTTGTCAACGTAACTGAAGCAGTAAACTCGGACATAGCAACACTGTCAACAGAAAATATAGCATCAGAAATGATATTAGATTCCAGTGAGAAATCAGACGAAAACAAGCCTTCAGCAAACCCTACTTTAATAAGTAAGGGTATATTTCTTAGCAATGCTACTCTTGGGCGAGATAATATTCGAGATAAAACGAATCAAGCATTTCCATCTTGGTCTCGTTATTCTCACAAAAGACTAAACTTATCCAAACCAAAAGATATGAGACGCACACCTACACCGTGTCCCGACGAGCCTGAGGGAAATGAACAGTGTCAACAGTGTATAAACGGGTCGTCAGTGAATCTCAATTTACGCCAAATTCCGTCAAGATTTCATCATTCTGATAACATCAAACTGAAGTTAGACAACACTAAATTTAACCCACTGCTGGATTTAGGAGGAGGATTGAAAGATTTACGATTTAAGAATTTAGAATCAGTTTTAATTCCACATTAAGAAACTAGGGACTAAATGTATTCACCCGTCGATGTATCAATAATGACAAGGTAAAAGATTGCCACTCAGTGGCACTCACAGAGATTGAATAAAAAAACGTTCAAGTTTTTAACCATGTTTGTAGAACTCCGAGTATGTATGTAGAGCTACGCAGAGCTTTAATACAGAGGTTTACATTTGACTACGAGTGTTGTACGACAATATATACAAGTACAATATTCATGCACGCGCCAGTCACGCGAGTACTGTCGTGCTGCCTGCATGCTTTCTTACACACACGTAAAAACAAGTTGTAACAAACCTGCAGCAGACTTGTAGCATGCAATGCTGATCCAACAATTTGTCATCAGAATGTGTTCGCACTGTTTGTCCCAGCTTGTTCACAAGTTGTCAACGGCGTGTTGTGACAACTTGCTACAAGGTTGTTGAGCTCAACAGACTTGTTACAAGTAGTTCCAATAACTTGTTACCGTCTTGCATTTGTGAACAAAGTTGTGAGTGACAACCTTGTAGCAACTTGATGAAATAACAATATTACTACAACTAACTTGTTGACAAGCTTGCTACAAGCCTGTTGTGGGAACATCTTCTTCATTTACGTGCATGTGTAGTGATCATGATACATATGAAACATAGGTGCATGCACACAAATGACGGAAGTAATCAAGCTGGCGCATACGCTATAATTCAGTGGCGTAACTCCTATACGCACTCAAGTAGGGGCCCCATGTCAATTAGGGAGACCCAAGAAAGGATGACAAAGTGGCAAAGCTAAAGAATTCATCAAAATCTACATGTTTTTGGCATGGTCCGTTTGAATGGGAAGGACATTGGGTGACTTGGGTCTTATTCAGTTTTTGCATGGGGCCCTTTTGGTGCAAAGTTAAGCCACTAGTATATTCAATTATAAAGCCCCCGGGATACGTCTTATCACATTTGACATAATCTCGAGCGACGAAGAGCCTTCGCTCGAAACGTCGAAGTTCTCCTTGTATTTTTTAGGTAGTTGTATCCCTATATATCATTATATGAATCTGCAGCTTCATTTAAATCAGGCCCGCCATAAAATTGAGGGCCTACCTGTCAAAAGCAGACATTGACAGTACTTTTAATTCTTACCCTATTCCACGCTTGTTTCATATATTTTGCCATACTTGTTGTAGTTTTATGTATTATATTTGTATTAATATATTCTGTAATGTTATTTACAGTTTTTGTTTATACTTTGTAACTTTGTTTTGACTAAATCCGTCTGATTTACACTGAAACTGAAAATGCCCGATTTTTGGTTTTTATTTATTTATTTATTTATTTATTAACTTTGCCCAGTGATTCCACTTTCAAGGAAATTTCCTTTTTCAAGGAAATTTTGACCGAAAAAAGACGTTTCAAGGAAAAAAAAGGAATCAAGGAAATCTAAGGAATTTTTGAAAATTCTAAGGAAATTTAAGGAATTTTTGAATCAACTGATTGAACTGAAATGTTTTGAAGATAAACCTTTCATTAATTTTAAATTATATTACTTTCCTTCGCTCATTACCAATATGTGTGCGTGCAAAAATAAAAAAACCTCTTTCGGAGCCTGTGACCGAGTCAGTGGAATGTAAAATTATTAATGAAAACACAACCTGAATTTTAGGCAGGTAGCGTGCTGCGTGCAGGCCACCACGTGTTAGCCATGTTTATTTATAGTTCAATGGTGTTAGCTGCACAGGTTGGCTGTCATGTACCCTGAATTCCAAAGCCTTCGACAGTAAATAATAAATTGAAACGTCGCGAAGGCTCTGGTTCAACGGGAAGATTTTTTGATTAAACCGCGCCAATCACAAAACCGAATTAGTGGTTTTAGTACAGAATCTGTACTAAAAAACACTAATTCTGTTTTGTGATTGGCGCGGTTTAATCAAAGAGTCTTCCCGTTGAACCAGAGCCTTCGCGACGTAACCGACGTTTCAATTTATTATTTACTGTCGAAGGCTCTGGAATCCAGGGTAGCTGTCATGCGAATTTATATGAATTTATTTGTCATGTGAATTTGTTGACTCAGTTAACGTTGAGAACAATATTAAAACTCTGGTATTTTACATTTTAAAGCTTTCAAAATTGTTGTGTAAAGGCTTTGTTTTTAAGAATTGTACAAAAGAAATGTACCACTCTGTTTCTGTCTTACTTTATATAAGTATTGATGAATTCTAGTTGCCGAAATATACTTCGGTTAATCAAGGAAATTTCAAGGAAATTACATCCTATTTCAAGGAAATTCAAGGAAATTTTAAAGCAAAATCAAGGAATTTTCAATGATGCGTTGTGGAAACACTGACTTTGCCGGCATAAAATTAAATTGGTTCAAGCTCCTCGTACCTCCACACTACACCCCCACACCACACCCCCACGCCCCTACACCACACCCCACGCATTCTCTATCACTACATCCTTGAGAAAATTATTTGCTTACAAACGATAATTAACCTGAAAGGTGGTAAGATACCGTAAATGAAGCCTGCGTGGCAGACAGATAGAGTTAAGTTAAACATAGGAAAAAGTTCATTAAAGGACATTGGCAACGAAAATTTTTATTGGCTATTTCAATCCTACTTGACAACCTAACTATGAAAATATTATCATTTCCTTCTCGAACATTTTACTCTAGGAGTAAAATGCATGCAAACTTTGTGTGTCGCCGCCATCTTGGAAAAAATGACCTTCGAAGGTCAACGAATTTTGTGACGTTATTAGATGGGTAGCACCAAAACTACAAGTGAGAATTCTATTGCGTGCGTGTCGTGTTAGCCAAAAATATGTCGTTTTGAGCGTTATACTGGCCAATACTTTTCGCAATCAAACAAGAGAAGCCTACACTATCAGATAAAAACATATCGAGCGACTGGGAAAACAAGGAATGGCGCAATTTACAATACAGGTAATTGATCATAAAATATTGCATTAGTGTTTGCCTTGTTTACACTCGAATTACTGCGTTTATTTAACACGGACTAGGACTGATATACTATCAGAAATAGTGTTACAAATAAGGAACATATTTGGTAAAACGTTTCTGCCCTTCGTTTAGGCTCAAAGTGCACTACGCGTGGTAATACTCGGTATTGTTTTATAGTCATGAAATTGTGTTTACCCATCTAATGACGTCAGATAATGTATGCTGTGGCACAAGTGTTTATTTTCAAAATGGCGGACTACTGTTGAACTTTTTATTACATTTTCTCAACAACTAAATGCGACAAACCGGCCAAAATATAAAATTAAGTATTCCGTAAGCATACCTAATAGATATAAGCAATAAAAATTTTGGTTGCCAATGTCCTTTAATGCCATAAGGTGAACAGTGCGGCAGTGCCAAGTTTGGAAATGAGGCGCTTTTCATGTCTTTTGCTACAATCATAGACAAATTTACTCGGACAAACATGGCAAATAAATTTTTTTTGCAACATTTTCATATATACTTCGTAAAGTTGGTCCCCCCTCCCCTGAAACAATGTTGATGAACACTTCAGTCATCATGGCAAGTATTGCGGTATTTGTACCAGCAACATTGTAACGGGGGAGCGGGGAATACGGCTGGATATGCGTATAAATATTTGATTGCCTTAAACTTCAGCCACTTTTAATCAGCGTCCGCGTGTTATTTGTCTAGGATTGTAGCTATCGTTGCTTCCAGAAGTGGGACAGAGGGCTCGAATTTCCATATCTGAAACTGTGATTGCCGCTATTAACTGTCTGACAACAGGATGGTCAGTAGCATCACTGCCAATGACTGCACGCCGATGCTCACCAAGAGACCAACCTTGTCCTCAAAGATCGTCCAGTTTCCCCAATATAAAGCATTCCCCAATATAAGCCGGCCTGTGCTATATACGAGTAACGTTTTCCCAAATCAGGGCAGTTTACATGTCAGAAAATATATTTATTTCACAACAGACGATTTGCTAGTATGTTCCACGTCCGCCCTAACTGGTTCCATATGGCAAATGTAGTGTCATTATTGAAGAACTTTGATATGAGTAGTCATCAAGTTGGATTGCAACACCCTATGTCTAATATCTTTGTAATTTAAATGAAAAACGTTTTTCAATCAATCGACAGTTGGCTGAGCAGGGCAAGAATCTTGAAAATACCAGCGCGACTCTCACGCATTTGAATGTCAGCTCACGCCTGCCTTTAATAATGGGCACATATACAGGTGCATAACATAATAGTACACATATACAGGTGCATCTCAGAAAATTAAAATGTCTTTGAAAATATTTCTTTGCACAAATTTGATTCAAAAAATGAAACTTTTATTGTCAGCAAATAATTTCTTTCTAGCTCTGTTTCTTTTTTTTCTTTCTTGTCCGTGTTTTTCTCTTTTCTTATATAAATGTAATGCGTGCTCTTAAGAAGGCCAATTGCCTTGTTTGGGCCCTGGGCATATTGCTAGCCTCACCTTACTGCGTATTAATTTTATCATTAATCTTGTTATTGTTACCGCAGCATTATCAATAAATGATAAATGTGTCGATTTCTGGAGCGAACTCAATGGTACTAGATCCGCCATTTTGAATGATTGTATAAATTCTCCCAGGCCTAGGCGCTTCCCGCCGATGACGTGAACACAAACCAAAGCGCCTGGTACGAGCATGGTCAATACAGTATAAATCGTACGAGGCATGCAAACTACCCAATTCAATGTTTATTTAAACTTCTAAGATTTTGGTTTCATGTTAATAAGAATGATTGTTTCGTACCTGAATACATTTAATTAAATTAACTGAAAAGAACCCATCTCTCAAAAGTGTAAACATCGAATTGAGCAATTTGCATATCAAGTTAATTTGATCTATTGCCGCATACCTGGAGACAAGGAGTTGAAAATATGTTGCCTCGAGAAAATCACACACCTAACTTTTTGCAAAACTTTGCAACTATGAGAAGGGTTTCAAAAAATTCCATCCTGAATTCTACCAGAATCTCAAAACTAAGCGCCTCAGGACGCTTGACATTTCAGATTAAGAAAATCTTAACGAAGAAATCTTGAAAATATCAAAGACAAACGTCACTCAGTTCAATATCTTTTATTATTTACACTTTTACAAAGAAATATATTAAGATTCAGTCGCTATTTAGAATTAAATTTATACAAATAATTAACATAGAGCATGAAATTAGCAGCCACATATAGCCAATTTATATATCTCGGTCAGAAAACAATTTAGTGAATGACAGAAGAGCTTGTTGGTAGCAATCAGATTCTTATCTCAAAATAAAAAACAGTGACAATGCATGTTTATTTCCCCCAATGTTTTTTTATTAAGATGATTGAAGTCATTTCAATCTGACGATCACTTAGTGCTATGTGTGAAAATGCCGCTCAAGACATAGAATGACACACACTTGACCACGCTGTAAGCTGGCATGTTTTAATCATGATTTCAAATTAATTGTATATGTTTGTCGTGTCTTTAGGTGCAGAGGGTTGTGCAAGTTTATCCATCTGTTGTGGTGTGACTAAAGACAATGTAGTTCCCAGGGATACTGTCATCTTTGTCTTCTCTGTCTGCGGCATTTGAAATAAGACTGTCGTAATTGTCGCATGGTAGTCGCTCGTACACTGTACACCCATTGGTTGAACTGCTTTCCTAGTTGATGCTGTTGTCTTCCTGTGTCGTCTGACACCAGGTGTTGGGGCTTGATATTCAAACAAGAAAGCAAACTTCGCAAAAGGTCTGCTATGTAACCTTATATTTTCAGCTTCACGATTATGCACGACTCGTCGCGAGTGAATGCGGTTTTTGATACTCCATGTAATGGAAACACCAGCCAACAGGAATACAAAACATGAAGTAAACACAATGAAGAACACGATTAAATTTATCTTTGTGGTATCTTGTTTGAAATAGATGATTCCATTCGCACCATCCTCAGCAGCTTTTATAATGATGTAGAATTTTTTCTTGTCCATTTTATGCTCATCGCTAGGAAACGTAACTACCAATCTGTGTTTCATGTGCTTGAAAACTATCACTTGTGTCCCGCGAGAGAACTTTGTGTATGTATTCAGACCATCCGTAGAGTACTCAGGGCTCGTTATTTTCGGCAAGGTTATTGAGACGGTCTGGTTTGCGTCAACTTTAAAGGCGTTATCACCATTAGAAATGTACACATCAAGAGAGCCTACATAGGAAATGAAAAAGTCGACAGCATGTCACAAAAATGTACAGTACGACCAAGGCTGCTCATATGGATCCGGACTGGCTCGGTTAAGCAGGATGATTTGTTTAATAAAGCTCTTAATTACGGCTTTGGTAAACATCCAAAATGACATTTCAAAGTTGAATTAGCTCAGTTTGATTCCAGTAACAGTATAAAGTTCATCCATGGTCAGGAAAACATTTTTGTGATACGATTCATTCTGGCTAGCCTGGCTCATATGAATAGCCTCTAAGCATTGTCTAATAAATTGATCAATAAATAAAATAAGTAGATTAGGACAGGATCGTGAATGTGAGACTATTAAGTGATCTCATGTTGTAGACAAGATAAGTTTCTTTTGCGCTTGCTTGAGAACAAACGTCGACACAGGGCTACTCTACGATAATCTAGACTATATGGGGACGATCCACATGACCACATTCAATTGCTTTCGTGCTTTACACTGGGTAACCTGACAAATTTTCATTTTTTAAAGAGTAAAGAAACCTTTGGAGAGTGAAATTAAACGCACATGTGCGACTCAGGCGATCAAAACGATTTCGATGAGAAAATTCAAATGAAAAATAAAATACGATCACCTACCGTAAGATATATCAAATGTTAAACGGATGTCCATATTAGTATAACTTGGTAGGATGCAATATAAACTTGTTTGGAAAGGCAAGAGATTGAGATGTTTTGAATGTTCTTTGGCAAAAAAACGGTGACCAAGCACTCTCAATTCACGGTAACATTGTTGTCCCTCGACACTAGGATTGCCAAGATATTTGGGAACACATTGCGAGCACTAGACGAAGACAGAAAACACGAATGTTTAGTTTTCCTTTAACTTTACCTCTGCATGTTCATAAACATGAATGTTTAGTTTTCCAAAACCTTTACCTCTGTTCATAATAGCTTTGACTTTTTTCTACTTACCGTAAATCCTCTATCCTACAATCGTAGACATGATTGTTAATGATAGGTCGGAATTTTAGGAAGATACGTTCGGCCAACTTCATTATGTTTTTTCCCCCCTTCACCTATGCACCCAATGTTGCTATTATTTTCCACACATTTTAAATGCAATTCGACAACATTGTTAAGGGGGAAGGGGGGTATTTCAGCATTTTTAGGTAAGATATAGGGATCAACTCCCACAGAGACAAATAAACAATTTATTAGCAAGTTATGTCCACGATTATAGGCCCATCACTCAAATACGCCGTCCTAGAGAATAAGGCCCGACTAAAGGACGAATTTGTTAACCTTCCCCTTCACAAAACCACATGCAGTGCATGTAATATTAGGTCGATTGTGTTATTGCCATATGTGTCTATGCCACTGAGGATGACTATATGTGACTATGCCACTATATAATACGAGTGGTGTGATTGGCTCCCAAGCAAGCGAAATTCTCCGGTACACCAACAGGCAATATGGAACTTGGGATTGGCTGAACATTGACATAAATAAAATTGCACTAAAAGAGTTCCAAATAGACCTTTCCCCCTTTAAGTGAAATTTTGATCTAGACTAGTAATATTCCAAAGTTTCGTTGCGAAATGTTGTAAAATGCGGATAATATAGCCTTGCGAAATTTGCCGTTTTTCAGTCATTTTGTATTACAAATGGGAAATTGATAATCAGTTTGATCATCTGATTATCAATTTCCCGTTTGTAATGCAAAAGTCCTACTTTAATAGAATAGTAAAACTATGGAACACAACCTGTAAAATACTTCTCCCACTAGTTTATCGAGTCTTTCAAATTTCAAATGTTCAATTAACCTTCCTCACTAAAAATTAACTCTTTCACTGTACTCCGTGATCAGACGTGGGTCATATAATTTTATATGGTGACAGCCAGGGTCGTATGGTAGCAGCCAGGTTCATATGGTGACAGTCAGGGTTGTATGGTGGCAGCCAGGGGCGCCCTTTAGTAACCTTCGACTAGGTCACGTGTGAAACTTACTGTTGTATTTTTCTCGTTTGAATTGTAACATATTTCAGCATTTCGACTACACTTATCATGGCAACTCGCACATTGACCATTTTCACCAACATAGCCTGGTAGACAGCGATTACAAGATGGACCCTGGAATAGAATGCCGAATTGTATGATTTTTACTTGCACATTTATTACGTATTCTTTGTTACATTAATACAATGTTTCTTATGATATTAATAGGAAATTACACTTCTGCAGTCCTGCTTGAAGTATTAATGAAAAATCACACGCTAGCTTGTATTTGGCGAAATATTAATACCACTCGTGCTTTGCTAGCCTGCATGGCAGTTTCTTATAGTTATTTTACTCGGTCTAACGCCTGACTATTTTAGTGGTGAAGGGGAAAGTCGTGGCACTTAATGGGTCAATATTTCTAGTTTCTAATACTTTGTTATAATCTATTTTTACTTTAATTTCTACTTGTATTTAATATGTATGCGGAATGCGTCTTTGTAATTTATCTCCGCAGCGTTCCATCATAGACAAGACATTAGTGGAAATCTCTATAGTCTATTAGTGGAAAATCCTATAGTCTATTAGTGGAAAAGCCTATACTCTATTAGTGGAAATCCATATAGTCTATATTAGTGGAAAGCTCTATAGTCCATAGCAAGTGTAACTTACGGTAGTGTGATCTCGACAGTCCTTGCAGTTATCAGGTTGAGTTTCATTGACACAATGACCTTTCTTATGACAATCACACTGAGTACTACAGTTAGCTCCAACCCATCCAAAGTTGCAAAAACATTGATCAGGATGAATACATGAGCCATAAACACATCCTTGACTGCACACTGGTATACATGAACCGTTTCTAAACAAAAAATAGCATGCTTTCCTCTCACGGTAGCTTTACATGGAGTGTTCAAGTCAAGGCTAAAAATTAATTAATGAGCATTCTAACACACCAGCGCTCACTGAGCTATTGAGATGCCAGATACTCAGGAATATTAAACACTCAACGCAGATTTTTATCTTTCAGATGATGAGATTGATAATTCTAACCAATAGAAAGAATGTTTACCTGTTCTGTAGGAATGAGCTCAGAAATACAATTATAAGTGCATCTATCTTCATAGTTTGATAGTGTATATATAAATGTATAGACTACAGAATGATGTAACAAATGTCGTGTGGCAAATGCATTTTTAGCCAATCTGGGGCACCTGATTTTCAAAATGCTGTATTCTGGGGCCCCCTGATAGTGGCCCCATGGTAGTGCCTTAGGATCCAACCCTTGATGCTTGTTATCTAAATTAGTTTTATGTTATATCCCTAAAAGTATTATTCAGATTCTCCAGTGCACTGAAATAATTTTTTATGTCCAAGTATAGCATGACATCCAGTTTGACAACTTGTTAGTGTCACACAGTTACAGTATCCAAGTGTCGATTTATTTGATTATTTGCAGAAAACTTTCAATGTTCTCTTGCGGTCCCAGAAAGGAAAATATTTTTTCCACCCCTGCTTATCAGAATGTCTGTGATTGGCTGAGACCAAATTTTGAATTTTTCGTGGTTTTATTCCGTGAACTGTACCGAAAATTTTGGTCAGGGCAAGGCGTTTGGTGTTGGGGAGAGGGTTAAATTCATCTAACCTCACCCTACAGGGGCCAAAGCCTAGGCAACCCTTGCCCTAACCCGAACCAGGGGCCGGTTGTTCAAAAACCGATTAGCTTAACCCTAGGTTAACCGAAAATTCAAAGCAAACTTCCCAACAACTTGTTTATAAACTTATAAATTCTTGTCTGGACTAATGAGAGTTTTCTTCTCTGAAGTTTTGAAATAAATAGATGTGCAAAAATACATAAACTAAAACAGTAGGTTAAATTTTAACCCAGGGTTAGCGCTAATCCAGCTTTGAACTACCGGCCCCTGATGTACTTGAGAAGAACTGACCAATCAGAGCTCCACGATCTTTTCGACCTTCACCAATCACAGACGTCGTTCTGATAGGTGCGTATTACCTGGATGATATTGCTTGCGGACTCTAGCAGTCGACATTCCAAGAACATTCAAATCTGAATTATTGCACTAATAGTTACACTGGTGAAAAAATAACTCCTTCAAACTCCTGGTAAGACTAATTTTGGAGTAAACACCGTCTGTATCATTGATACATGATCGTGTTTAGGTGAACTATGTGTTCCGGTTTTTTTATCGTAGCGTGAAACTTACTTTCTTTCATACCCAGATGAACATTCACATTTATACGACAACGCCTGATCCACACACGTTTCATTTTCATTGCATTGATGATGTCCATTTGAACATTCATCTTCAGGAAGACATACAGACGAAACCCAGGTATCTACACCATCACTCTTGCCATAGCATGTTCCATTATATGGACCTAAGAAGTCAATAGATTTCTGTGAAAATCAGGATTTGGGACATCAAATTCGATAGAACAAATTGAAGGATTTTGTGGATGGAAATTTCGAGTGTGAATTTTCTACATTTATTACACCTAACCAGGAGCGGAAAATCGCGGGAAAATCATTAAATTAAAAACACTGCTAACGTGGGGATCCAGTTGCACTTTTTACAATATATTGCCGTGGTTTAGGTCAAAACTACCAGAAAAAATACGAAGGCTTTCGTGAGATAGTTACTAGCTGAATGCATGGCTTTATACTTTTGTGTTCTCCTCGAAAATATATAAAAAAGATCGCTAACCTTGCAATGTTCCTTCAGTACAGACTCCAAGGCCATTTTGAGTTTGATCCGTACACCAACCGCAATTATACTGCTCCAAACAATCATAACAATAACTACTTGTATTACATGAAGTAGGACATACGTCGTAATGACGTAACACACGACCACATATCCCGAATGCACACGTGATTGGTTGGAAGGAAAGTGAAAAACAAAGATGCGAGTCAACAGACCAACAACATGTCGAGCCTACAATAAAGATAGAGTGAGGTTTACACTACACATTGTAAGTAATTCCTACTTTATTTACAGTACTCGATTGCTCGATCAGTTCTAAACTGTCCTTCCATTTTCCTCCACAAGTAACTCTCTTGTAAACGGTCAAAACGTAGGAATAGCCCTCGTTTCATGTGCTTATTTCCTCATGTTTCGTGCTCAGTAGAGCCTGGTTCACATTGTCAGGGGCCGCGGAACCGGGGGGGGGGGAGAGAAATGGGGGCATGTGCCGCCCCCCCCCACTTTTTTTAAAAGTGAAAAAGTGCTCTTTTTCTGGGCTAAAGTGCCTCATTTAAAGAACGAAAAAAGTATTTCTTGAATGAAAGCCCTCTTTTGCTGGAAAGAAAGTGCCCCCCTTTTTGCAGTAGTAAAGACTCTGTAAACGCCATTTCCGACGTTATAGAGACTCCATATTTACAAAAATGTTCGTCCGGCTCGTAAATGACATAAAATCGTTTGATTTTGGTCACATACAAAAGTGCCCCTTTTGGCCAATGCTTCCGCGGCCTCTGCACATTGTCAAAGTTTATGTGATCACAGTGGGAATTTTGCATACTGTAAGTAAATTTTATAAAATGTTAATAAGAAATGTTTGAGGATGTTAAACACAAAGTCAGTTCCCTATTTACCTATGCAAAATTCCTACTGTGATCACAGAAACTTTGATAGTGTAAACCAGATTTAAGTGAATCGGATCAACATAAAAAAGAAACATATTCGTGCACGAAACATGGGGATAAAACAAGCAAACATGGAAACAAGGCCACTGTGGAAAAAGTGCAATAAACAGTAAAGTGTGTTACGTAATACAGAAACAAACATTTTCTCTTTCTAGAGATCCAGTAAGAGCCATCCTCCAGTGGACCAGCGTTGCTACAACAGGAAACTTAACTGAACCAAGTTTATTTACACTGCATGGATAGCTCTAGCAGTTCTAAACTGATCTTGCTAGAGAAGCCTTTAATGCTCCAAGGATTATGAATTCTACAGGGTGTCTAAAAAAAAACGCTACGGAAATTCAACAGGCTGTTGTGCATCATAAACGTAGCTAAACAGTTCGATTTTTGCATATGAAGAAAGAGCTGTTATTTAGCTTTTCTATGACACCTTTTTGAAATCGTAACGATGAGAAATGGCTACACACTCGTCAAATAAAAATTGCCGGTCGAAATCACATTCTTCCACCGTTGGGAATTGAAAATACATTAATTATGCAAAGTTAGTCAATCCAAAAGCAACGCGAGCCTGCTGCAAGCTATTTGTTTCATAAAACGTTTTGATAACGAATGTTCTCTGTTCAGAGGTTAATTGAACTATGTTTCATACCAAATTCGTATTGAGTTATTGTCTCACTAAGACGAAGATTGACTAGTTGAGCTTATTTTAGATCATTTAACATTCAATTTTAATTCCCTCTTGGGAATTGTTTATGTTTCGTTTTCGATGCAATTCCCAACGGTGGAAGAATGTGATTTCGACCGGCAATTTTTATTTGTCGAGTATGTGGCCAGTTCTCATCGTTACGACTTAAAAAGAGTATCATTGAAAAGCTAAATAACTGTTCTTTCGTCCTATGTAAAAATTGAATTGTTTAGCCACGTTTATGATGCACGACAGCCTGTTTAATTTCCGTAGCGTTTTTTTTAGACACCCTGTATATTAACTTAAACCTGGTTCACATTGATCGGCGATGTTCTACGATCCATTGTCTGTGAGCAACGAAGAAGAAAATGCACAAAACATTTTATGCATCAATGACCACCGACAATGGGCATTGCCGATGTTTACGATCAATGTGAACCAGGCTTTACCTTCAATACAACTCGAGCAACCACCAGACACGGTTTTCTCAATACACACATCACTCCATGACGTCAGAGCACTAGCTATTGGCATTGCAAGCATTCCATTTTGACAAATGCTGTTTGTAGCGATACAATTCAGATGACTGTTGGATACATAACATGCAGTGAGGTTGCTGGCAGCATCCTTACACCAGACACAATTTCTGACTTTGCTGCATGATATTTCCGTAGAAAACAAAGCACACCAGTTTGAAGAAGGGTTTTGACGATGTAACTTGCCAGATGAAAGACCATTGTAACCTCCAAAAACGTACGTGACATCATTCATTGAAACAATTGCACTGTGAGCCAGCGACGAGGGAACACTGCCTGGAAGCGAAATGTTCAAGGTAAAGTTATATGAGCAACAAACTTGCTGTAAGCTGTGAAAAACTGATTTCATCGCATTTTAGTTATTAAAAATTGTAAACATTCCCATGAACTGTACATGTAGGCTTAAGTTAATACAAAAAGGAATGCCCAAGCTAGCCATATAGTAACTGCATGATCTTGAATTACCCTTAAGAAATGTTTCTATAATTGTCTTTAGACTATCTGCAGATCCAGTTCGTAATTGTAGGATGGTTTCAGTAAGTAATAGCAAGCCAAGAGACGTTTTTGACAACACGAAAACTGTTCTACCTAGATGTGCAGTAAGGACTATCGATCCGTTATTGATCCAGTGTTATTACATGCAGGGTCTGGCCGTATAAAGTGAAACGCTTAACTACTTTTTTATCTATTCGTTTCGCAGTTAAATAATAGTTAACTCTCAAATACGCGATTCTGATTGGTTAACTTCTGCACTAACTGTCGTTAACTTTAACTACCTTTTTATACATTGGAGAACTCTATCAGATTTCCACCCGTGAGGACTATTAAGTCCACTGTTACTACAGGGGTAAAGCAGGGCAACCACAGAAAACTTACATTGTTAGTAGAGTACAACTGGACGCACTCTTCGTAACAGACTTGCTGGAATTGGCCTCGATTCATTTTTTATAGGGTCTATCCAGAATTGTTGTTATGAAACTGATTTAATAATCCACTGGATAGACTCAATTCGAGAGAGACTTGGAGCAAGCCTATCTTCTTAAAAACAGCTGAGAGGAAATGATAAGCCGACAATATTAGAGGAATGAGCCCAGAGCACACAGTGGTTCATGCACTACTGTACTATAGCACACTGGACCAAATGTACATTTGCGAATTTTCATGCCCAAGTCATAACGACCATAACGAATATTTCATTTTATGCACTGTACATAAAAATATATACTATTTTACCTGAGGCACACCTGGCACAATAACCCATTCATTTGTAGTCAGTTTTAAAACTGCCAATGTTGGCTTCATTTTGCTTGCTTGCTTTCCAAATACAACCAAAGATTTTGTAAAACGATCATAAACTGTTGTATGTCCGAAGCAGGCTAAAATGATAAGTTCAGTTGCTATCGTTATTAGTGTATCATTAAGATTTTACGACAAACTGAGAACAAATATTAGGTTAATCAGTAACCATGGTCATGGAATATTATTGTACAATTGTGAACGTTCATGTATTCTTGCATTTCTCCTGGCAACAGCTCTGAACGGTGCACAATTAAGAGTGGATTTTACCTTTGAGATTTGTGGACAAGGCTTTTGCAACTACGTAAGTTTATCGATGTTAGACTGTGAAGTTCTTTCCTATTATTTCAAGTCAAAATATTATAAACACCCTTACTTTATAACCGATTAAAATTATTATTTACCTTAAATGAAATCCCAAACCTTATATAAAAAATATCTGGTATCCGGCCAGATATTTGTCAACTATCCGACTGGATAGCAAAATGCTCTATCCGGTGCATCGCTACGAACCGTACAAATTCCCGTGTAAACAAATAGAACCGGCCAAATTCGCGTACTGTTCAGAATTCTTCATGTCTCGTCCAGAATTTGTCCTTAGTATTTGAAAAATGATAAAGAAATCTGCACCCAAATTCGAAAGAAACCTACCGTCTAATATATCTCTCGAGGGATTCAAATCACTCCAGTCAGAATTGATGGTGTCTAAGTTCAGTGTATAGACATTTGAAGAACATTGTTTGTCAGGAGAATATCCACCAATTAAATATAGAGTGTCATTTACAACATTCACGGTGTGGCCAGCAAGTTCTCTTGGAAGGATCTATATTTAATTGATATCAGTCACACTTGAGTATAATTTTACTAATCTGTGCAATAAAGAAATTTGGCTGACGTTTGTTTCTACCCAGTTCACAACTTTGATGACCCACATGCCTAGTTACCGTGATGTAATAGTTTACAGAAGGATAGAATAGAACAAAGGTAACCAAGCTTTAGGCTACGTTTACACTTGTAAACGCCGTAGCGACGTGAAGAACACCTATCCAACCCTTTTAGGAACACTATTTTCAGAGCAATTATTGCAACGCCAATGAAGAGATGTTGTTTCGCTCAGCTTCTAAAAGTTGCAGATTCCGTATTGGATAGGGGCTTTGTCGTTTTTCTATCCGGTATAGAGTAAACGTAAAGCTTTATCTACATGAGTGAATAACTCTTATATGTATACAGTACACAATTCTATAATGTTTAGTTACCTTCGTTCTATATTCGTAATCATGCATGTTACTGATGTTATCCAAAGTTCTGAATTTGGTAGCAACAATGTAAACAACGTTAGCCAAATTTGTCTATGAAACGGTGTGCTACTCAATCTTCTCTATATACATCAGATCAGTGGGGAAAAGTTTAACGACTTAACGTGATCCCAGGAATGTCACACTCTGACCTTCTTGAAATAAGGTTTGATATATAAATAATTTTAAAATAGAGTTAGACAGCAATTATTAAGGTAAACACCACAGATCTAGTACTACAACCGTTATAAAATGTCTGGGTGTATCTGTGTAATTCTGTGTTCTGTTAGAATTTCATAGAAATAATGTTTGTAAATCTGTGTTCTGTTAGAATTTCATAGAAAGAATGTGTCTAATTCTTTGTTCTGTTACAATTTCATAGAAATGTTTGTAGATCTGTGTTCTGTTAGAATTTCATAGAAATAATGTGTGTAATTCTGTGTTCTGTTAGAATTTCATAGAAATAATGTGTGTAAATCTGTGTTCTGTTAGAATTTCATAGAAATAATGTGTGTAATTCCGTGTTCTGTTAGAATTTCATAGATGGTCGAACTATTCTTTTACGTACATTTTGAAAAGTCGTCTAGCTCGGCCTCGTTTTTGCTACTTATTGAAAATGTAAAATTAAAACAGAAAAGAGGGAGAGAATCTTTATTTCAAACCTTTATCAATGGAAGCCCTGTGCAAGACATTCAGAATGACTGGGCCAAAGGAACTATCGTCAAGAGAATATTGTCAAGTATAATTAAGTCTCAAATTGCCACAACGTTGTCACTGACAACTTGTTGCCAAGTTACATGCAGGGCGAGAACAAATTGTTGAAAGAACTTGTATTTATCACTTATTTACCGAGATCGAGGGAAACAGTGTGTTTTGTGGACCCGAGACCGCCGTTGCTGAAATTTTCTACTACACTAATTTTCTACCTTGTGACCCAGGTTTGCAGTTAGCTCCAGTCACATGCAGGTAACGCGGTTCCCTGGAATCCCAACATCTAACACCCATGGCACAATCTGTGTCGATTAGCCTGCGCGCAGACTATATTTAACAATTATTCGCCGAAGGCGAGGTCATTATCGGTGAATAAAAACCGAGACGAAGTCGAGGTTTTTATTCACGATAATCACCGAGCCTGAGGTGAATAATTGTTTTAGTATAATTTCATAGGTGATTATTTGGAAAAAAATAAGAAAATAAACATTTCTTCATCATTAATTGACAAAAAGGCTTCGGCGGCCATTTTGAAAATCGCTTAGGTGATTATCGCGTAATAATCACCTCAACGGCAACCAATCAGCGTGGAGAATTTTCAATAATCACCTATGTAATTATACTAAAATGACATATATATATTTATCATTTATAGACCCGGAGCGAGGGGGATTCGGCGAAATATTTCCCGAAGGAAATATCATCACTTCGGGAAATATTTCGCCGAATCCCCCGAGCGGAGGGTCTATAAATGATATATTATACCGAAAATTAAAAGCCTCCAAGTTGAGAAATAAAAACTTGACACATACCTTCGTGAATACGATGTTTTAGTTTCGGATTAACGCAAGTATCGTCGCTTTTCTTTCGAATCACATATCGTTTGGAATATTAATGACAACATTTTTCAAAATTTACTTCAAAATTTTGAAAAGCCCCAGGTTTTACAGTCATTTACCCAGATTATTCATCACTCATCAATACTATTTATACTTTGGCGGCATGCGTGTTGTCTCGCGTGGTCTACGCGAATCATATTCACCGGTGAATTTGACTCATATTCACCGGTGAATATGACTGAAATTTCCTGCTGCACCAAATACGAATGACGTAAGCGCGATACGATGATAAATTTCATGCTCACGTGGTACAAATCTAGCTTCCTGATTGGACAATTTAAATTTGAGGTATAATATCATTATATAGTCTGCGCGCAGGCTAGTGTCAATCGGTTCGTTAGAAATCTCATAACAAGTCTGCTGGACAATTTGTATACTTTTATCGAATACACTTTTAAACCGTACCTTGTAAACATCCGCTGCATGAAAATATCGTGGACTCGGCGTTTTACTCCCACTAGTTTCTTGAACATAATTCTTCGTCTTAGTATGGTATTTCCAAACATCACCAAGAATGTTAAAATAGAGTGAGTATCCTCCATAGATGATCAAAGATTCAGTTTGAACATCAGCTATTAATGTATGTCCCATGCGTGCAGGAGTCGAGCCACTCAAAGGGGAAGAATATTCCCAAATATAATGATTAGAAGGATGCTGGATGTTACAAGATGGTCCAGCATAACCATTGTTACAGACACATTTCCCAAAAATCTAGAAAAAAAAAAGATGAATTTAGTTACCGCGTAGTTTGTGTTTGAACTTTGTCTCTGTGTTCTGAAAAAGGAACATGTTTCGAGAGAAGGTCCTTACAACTCCCTCAGCGAGTCGTTCCTACAGAATTTCAATTTTGCAAAAATTACGAACGTTCCAATGACATTATTTAATGGGGCGTTGTAAAGTGCTATAATACCGCTATAGTTTGAAGTGGTGTTAAGTGAAACAAAAATGGTATGGTGTGGCAGGGTATAATGTGGTATAGTAAAGGCAGTAGCTAGTATTCCTCAATACGCCACCACGGGTTCGTGTTGAAACTGAAAACAAGTCGATGTCTCGACTTTCGTGAGGAGCTTGTTCGCCAGAACGTTAGTCGCTTGAACTCCTGAATGCTCGAAGTATGCATGGCAGCTTATTGTTACGAAGTTAAAGTGAAGTGAGGTAAAAACTACAAATTACTAACTTGATCACAATAACCATGACCCAGGCCCTCACTGCAGTTTGCTGGACATATGACATCATCACAGGCCATCCCAGTCCACCCCGGTTTACAAATACAACTCTCGTGTGTTCCATTACTATGACAATAACGGTTGCCTGCACACGAATTTGGACATTGATTGACAACGAAGGTTGCATTAAAACCACTCGTCAGTGAACTCAGACCAACATTTCCTTTAAACACAACAACCAAAGTCCCAGAACGAGATTCGATAGCAGGAATACTGGAGGGATCCGTGCCGCATAGGGAGCCGATAAGATTAAATGAAGGCTCGATGCCACCAAGTTTAAAATTTGGCATACCATCATAGACATAAATATGATCTGTTTGACAATCTAACGCTATGTCTTTCATGCGAAACGTGACAGTTCCTGGAGCCGGTTCATTTGAATACACGACTTGGTTAGAGTTGTGATTTAAAGTAGTGATCATCCATACACACTTCACGTCGTTTGGGTTATAGTCTTGACCTGATTCTGGTAGACTGCTCAATGTTCCTTGTGCCATATTGGATAAGATAGCGTGTGCTTTGCAAGGATAGTAGCAACCTTCGCCTCTCCTGCAATACAAATAAAATATAATTAAATGGTTTACAATATGTGTAAATACAATACAATACAATACAATACAATACAATACAATACAATACAATACAATACAATACAATACAATACAATACAATACACTACAGTATAGTACAGTAGAAATACAGGATATTAAACAGTTGTTGAATTCGGTTTTTGTGATCAGAATTATGAAGGTCGAGGTAAGTATTTTCAGTCAAGCCGAAGGCGAGACTGATAACACTTACTGTACCGAGACCTTGATAATTGGGGTTGTCACAAAAACCGAACTAATATATAGGGTTTTATTAAATCTGATTCCAGCGCTGACATACCAACAAAAGTTTACTGTATCCTACTATTGATAGTACTAGAAAACTTACTCTGGATGACCAGAAAATCCAGGCACACATTGATCACATTGTGCACCCATTGTGTTGTTCATACAGAAACAATGCCCCAGTCTACTATCACATATCCCTCGTTGTTCGTCACCATGTCCATTACATTCACATCTCTTACATCCTGTAGGAGTGACCGCGTTACCATATGACCCAGGCACACAAAATTCACAATTTTTACCATGTGTTGAACCTAATAAATCAAAGTATGGTAAGGTAGTAGTTGAGAAGTGGGACAGACAAAAGTAATTTATAATAATATAATGATTGTCAGTGGTGTTTGTACAATCAGCCAGGTCATGGCCTTTGTTCATCTCAGCTTGCCACTGAGTTCTGTAAGTTCAAGAGGCAGAGCAACAGAACAACGGGTTCAAGCACCATGTGGGACAAAGAAACAAGCAAAACAAACAAAATGCAGTCACTGCAAAACAAATAAATCACTTAATACCTGGAGTGAACACACGAGCCCAGTCCAACCCAAATCACACTTACATTCATCCAATGAATCGTTAAGTTGGTGTTTAATGCATTGGCCATGAACACAAGGTGGATTACACCTGAAGAAAATATTCACAATGTCGTTTAGTCTTCTCCAGTTTGTGAAAAGAGTGTTTCCAGTTTGACTCAAACACTGGAGGTTTACTCCAGGTATTCCTGCTTAAGTCTTGGCCATGATTGGACATCAGGACACTTCAAAACTGATATCTAATGGGGGTGATTTAGATATTTTTACTATAATAAACTCTCCTGGCAAAAATCTTGTTTGCTTTTCTGTTTGTAGTGGAGAAAGTTTTGTATCCATCCCGGGAAACGCTGTACTTCCACAGTAAGATTTTATTTTATCAATTTTTTAAGATTTCGAGCTATGTATGCGACACGCGGTTAGTTTATTCAATATATTTACAGTACGAAACAAGCTTTGGAATAAGGGATTCAAAATATTTATTGCACAATAACAAATTTGATTAAAATAGATTAAAGAAGCTATATTAGCTAAGATAGCATGAAATGAAATAAAAGAGGAAGACAAAAGATGAAGTGATGGAAGAATATTGCTAAACATAACGAATTATTACAGAATATATACTAACTGTATATAATATTAACACAGTTGGTAAATCTACTGTCACGTGAAAGAATTGCAAGGTCTACTTCAGCATGTACTAGTACAGCAAAACAGTATAATACGGAGAACACTGTCCACACCTCCAAACGTGAACTGTAAACACGCAAATGTAAAAACCCTAAAGTATAAAAATTTACTAAGATACGTCATGTAATAAAAACTTACAAAGGTTTACAAAATGAGCCATTTCCTTGATAACCCTGTTTACATTCACATCTATATGAACCAACAGTGTCAAAACAATCTGCATTTTCATCACAATCATGTTTTGTTATACACTCATTTTCATCTGGGCATACTGCGTAAGACCACTCGTAGCTAGAAAATAAAAGAGAATAATAGATACCATCATTTACAAGTCTGTCTATGACATGCACGACTTCATGTCTTCAATCCAAACGGTGAATGCAATTTAAGGTATCTCGTACACAACATTGGTCCCCGCGATTACAGTCAGTTGCGGACACTAAGGGGGGCAGAGAGTTGCGGACACTAAGGGGGCCAGAGGGTTGCCCCCCCCCCCCCAATAATTTCAGAAAGCCTTTGAGCATAGCTGAATAACTGTGTAACAAAGATGTAATAATAATTATCATATACACAAGGTCTGGCTATGAGGTATTCTGCAATCTGATTGGTTCTCTACTAGCAGGATATTTAACAATTAGACAACGAGGCCGAGTTGTCTATGAGCGAATTTAGCCTGTCTCCCATGTGAGCCTGTCTCCCTGTCTCCCTCTTTAGCCTGTCTCCCTGTCTCCCATATGAGCGAATTTAGCCTGTCTCCCAGACCGGTTTAGCCTGTCTCCCATGCAATAGGTGAATTTATTGGCGCGAAGCGACTTTTTCCTTTGTCGCCATTGCTTTTGCTCACGTGTAAGCGATGCGAAATTCGTCTAGTAGTAAATGGGCTCTTTACACTAACATCAAAGGCGCCGACAGAAAATCGGACGTCTGCAAGTGTTTATTCTGTGCTATAGTTTCATATTATTCTGACACTGCAGTAGACCAACGAAAAATTCGTTGGCTCGAGCGGGATTTGAACTCGCATCTTCGGGTATCTACACCTTCTAAAGCTCATTTTCCACTAGGCCAATTTGTTCGCGGGAAGCGAAAAACAAATTTTGGCAATGGCCAATGTGATTATTGGTCAGCGAAAAAATTTCGCCGCGAAAAAGTTCGATCAGTTCCTCTTTTTTACTGTTAGGGCCAACAAATTCGCCTAGCTAAAAACCAATAGCCTTTGAATGATAGCTGAATAACTGTGTAGCTTAATTAACTCTGTGTATTGAATGTCCTCGATACGTGTCCTTATATATTTTGCAAGCTGACAAGAACCAACACCAAGTGTTATATCGCGGTGATGGCAAACATGCTGGGAACAATGTCATCTTGTATGTCCTCACTGCTGCGTTCGTTGCCTCTATAGTGTAAATACCTTTTATAATTATATGTCATTCCATCTGAAGATACCAACTGATTGCAACTTCCATTGGAAGGAGCATCATATCCTCCCGCAAAACAACTGAATGAAAAATATATAAATGATAAATAATATTTAACAATAGATACATACACACATAGGCCTACACACATACATTTATAAATTACATCACACATTATTCAGTTCACTCCCCATCGGGACTTTTTGGTGACTGATTACATCAAATATTACGCTTACTTGTATCAAGATTATTTATCTTTACAACACTTGTGACTTTACATTCCTAACTATGTTTATCTAACCCACCCTGTCAACTTTCCCTGTGAGAGGAAACTGGAGCGCCCGGACCCACGACTTTCGGCAGAGCGTTGACTCTTTTCACATGAGAGTGTAACGAGAATCAAACCCACGAACTCCGAAGTGAACTCATGGTGTAAACAAGATTACGAGAATGGTGGTATTTACCTGCCGTTATGATATTCTCCACACCACCCGCAATACGTTGTTTTCAAACAATCGGCACATTTTTCTTTATCACTGCATGAAGGACACCGACCTTCTTCTTTTGTAGAACTACACAGTATATACGAATTCAGGCATTAGTTTTTGTGATAGAAAATGCAAATACTTTGTCTGACGGATAAAACACTTGCATGAATGGTAGCTTTTCGTTTTGTTTGCCGTCCCTGCATGTGAAGGTATTGGAGTACGGTGGGAACAAATAGTTGCCCGACGTTGATTGCCCGAGAATTATCATGGGTTTATTGATAGATGAATAGAAGGTAAATAGTATCAAAAACTAGAATGCAGCCATTAAAATATTCCTACTCTTGTTTAATTTTGTATTGATACTACTGCAAATCTTCCTTGAACTACCCTCTTTTAACAACGCCCTCTTTACAAATCCTCCCCCCCCCCTTCAGAGAAAGAAATTTATTAAGCTCCTCTTTCCCCTCAATTGGCCTACAAGTCCTTGTGATTCCTATTTACTGTTTTTAAATAAGTCAGTTTAAAATCCTTCTATATTAACTCCTCCCCAATAAGTCAATATACACAGTATATTTAATTCCCCATGAAACATACCTGAAATAATTCGGGAGAGGGGTTAATAGAGGATGTTATAGATACGAAATACATACCCGTCAGACCAATGTGAACATTGTCCATACATAAAAGCGGCAGGAAGAGATACCGCTGGTATACATTTGTCTTCGTTTTCACACCACAAACATTTTTTGTTTGTTATACAGCTGTCACAATCTTGGTGACTAGAAGTGAAATAAATAAAACATAGCGAGGCATGGTTCATAAGGCGCACAATGGTCAAATTTAGTTTACACGAATTTAATAAATGCAACTGTACTCTGTAGTGCGTTGTATGAAACGAATCCGTTTGATGAATTAAATTCGTCCAAGTCGTTTTATTCGTCTTGGTGAGATGGATAAAGCGCTTGTATGATATCACGTCTTCGTTTCATACAGTACGACGTCAAATTAAATACCTAAATGTGTCAGTCATGTAAGTTTCTGATCGTGTGGTTCGTATTTCTTATAAATTCAACTCGTACATGATCGAAACAGGCCTAACATTCATCTCTGGTGCTTTATATTACACTAGAATAGTATAAAAAGACCTTCGGAGCTGTTACTGTGGTTTACGTACATAGTGCATGTAGATTTAAACCAAGTTGGTGTATACACAGCTGCAAGGTGCTTTACACTAAAGCAGTGTAAAAACACCTTCGGAGGTGTTAGCTTACGCTCATGCATGGTAACACAGGCATGGCGTCCACACAGCTGCATCTATTTTAACATCAAAAAGGTGTAAATTGACACAATATTCGGTGTAAGTTCCTACCAAATCGGTGTCTACACTGCTCCAAGAAATTACACCGATTTTGGTGGTAACACTCCCAGATTTACAGTGAATTTCGCAAGCTGCAGCTATCTGCAATTAGTTTGCTATACGGAGTACTTATCATATCCTTCTTGTAGTTGAAGCTAAAGTGGCATGCAGCTCAAAGTTGGCCGCCATTGCAGACTGCCAGCATACGACCCATGTCTGATCACAGCCAAGGTGAAAGGATCAGTGCAGGAGGAAACGGGAGTACCTGGGGGAAAACTTCCGAAGCACAGGAAAGAACCAATCTCAACTTTACACGAGTTTTCAAGAATATATAGTAGTTCCTGATAACATCAATGTAACTTACATTGTGCAAGATGAAGCGCATTGCATTCCTGTGTTTTTATTTTCCAGTTGATAACAAAGTTCATAATTTTGAAGCCATGTACATTGGTCGTCCTAAAAAAAAATAATTAACATTAGAACAACATATCTTGTGTTCCAGGCGCTCTCAAGTCAAATAAAGCCAACCCAATAAAGTGCCAACCCAATAAAGCGCCAACCCAATAAAGCGCCAGCCCAATAAAGCGCCAACCCAATAAAGCGCCAACCCAATAAAGCGCCAACCCGCCAACCCAATAAAGCGCCAACCCAATAAAGCGCCAGCCCAATAAAGCGCCAGCCCAATAAAACGCCAGCCCAATAAAGCGCCAACCCAATAAAGCGCCAGCCCAATAAAGCGCCAGCCCAATAACACGCCAGCCCAATAAAGCGCCAGCCTAATTTTTTACTCTTTCAAACTGGGGAAACTCATTTTAGGTTACCTTAACGTTTCTTGACTCGTGCTGGAGCTTTTAAACTCGTGCCAGTTCCACGCGGCTTATGTATATTGTTTTGTCCTTCTCGAACTGCATGTCGAGTTTACGAAGTCAAATTATGACGAAGTATCAGTTGGTACGATTATTTGTTGCTATCTGGTATAGTGTATAAACGTAGCTTATGTGATCAAATGTATTGATTGATACCAATCATTGATTGATTGGTAGCCTATATGATCAAATGTATTGACTGATACCATGTTGATATTTTATACCGGAAGTAGGCATAGCTTTATTCGAATGAGTCATTGGATATTCCAAACATTTACGAGTCCATGAGGCAGAATTTCACTTTAGTGACTGAACCATCGGAAATTACAGATTATATCATGCCATAATCTACCCGATACATAATCTATCCGCATCGTTCTGTTGTCATGAAGTATGAAGTTATATTGGCATTTTGATTGACGTGCATACACTACAAAACGATGCTTACCTTAGAACAAGACTCACAGTTAATATACTGAGCACAGGTTTCACAATATGTAGCATTAAGGACTAAGTAAATATCCTTGCCAGATGAATGTTGACATTTCGTGGAGCTATTTTTAAATATACACGTACTATCTGACCAACACCAACCACAAGACATGTCAGACAAGCACTCGAGGCATGTTGGATATTTTGCACAATCATCAGAGTAAAACGGTCGGATATATCTTCCATCGATCTAGATAAAGTTGCAAATAAGGTCTTTAAATGTTTGCACAATACTCTGTAGTTATTTAACGTAGTGAGTGAGTTCGATATTATTATATTATATTTTAATGGTGCTATAAAAACTGGCTCATGATTTATTATTTTAATACAAAATTTCAAAAACTCATTTAGACATTAATAATAATCAATAGACAATTCCAGCTATCGACTAATTTTTTATCTATAGACAAGAAAGACGAAATATATCATTATAGCTCAAATAAGCATCCTAAAATTAGTAAAATTGCAAAGTTTGGTTGCGAAATGTTGTAAAATACGGAAATGAGCAAATTTTCAGTATTTTAGTATTACGCGCGGTAAAAATATTAACCACTTTCGGCTCAAAAGTGGTTATTTTTACCGCGCGTAATACTAAAATACTCAACATTTGCTAAATTTACAGGACTACATTGATTTCTCCGTTTTCTCCGACAACTTTTCGCAACCAAACTTTGCAATTTTACTAATTTTAGGATGCTCTTTTGAGCTATAATGATATATTTCGTCTTTCTTGTCTAGATAAAAAATTAGTCGATACCTGGAATTGTCTATTGATGAGGAAAACACAAAGAAAAATCATAAGCGTGTCGTATCTTTATATGTGATAGAGATTTCCCTTGATTTACATGAACTTTAACTTTCTCGACTTATACAACGTATTTCTTGAAAATTACTTCTCCAATGGACTTACTAGATCGATCGTTTTTGTGTGTGGTCATACTTTATTTTCTACAACATGCAGGTGTCATTGCAAGGCGCAATCAATTAACAAATAAGCAAACTAACTAAATAAAAAGCAAACCAGTGCAACAAACAAACTAGCCTAATAACAGACTACGTTTCGCCCTCCCTAAAATTCACGGGTCGACGAAGGGCGAAACGTAGGTCTGATGAAAATGTTGTTAAAAGTGCATGTAAGTCGACCGCCTGGCGGTCGACAAAGCTGATTGGCTAATTCACAGGGAAACGGGTTGTGATTGGTTGATCGCTGACATGAAAAGATTTGAAAAGATCAGAATATTTTCAACGGTAAATCAACGCATATAAATATGCGTCATACAGTGTAATATTATAACGAGAACTAGTCTATGATCAGTATCTACCGTCTAAAATTAAAACTAGAGGGGAGTAGAGCAGTACGTGTCAAATTCTTCAGCGTTGTATCTTTCCGTTGTAATAAACAATACAATATATAATTTTTATACACGATCTAAGTTTTGTGATTAGTCATAATAAAACTCGGATACAAATATGTGCGCATTCATGATTTACATTTTGATAACATAGCACGTACAAAATATTTTATTTAGATTTTACCATTGTATGGCGATTTCAAATGTATAAATTGTAAGAGTTAGGATGCAAGTCAACAATGGCACATTGGCCATTGCCAAATTTGCGTAGGCAGATTTTATCGCATTTATAGAATGTGTTGAAAATGTTGTATTATTACTACTGTAGCTGTAACTGTTTGTTTACATATAAAAGCAACGGGCTCCATGGCCCATGGGGTTAGCAATATTTTAAATATTTATTCGAATATCTGTACTTATCGACTCTTACTAGTTTACAAACTTGCAATAACGTGAAATCGACAACTTTCATTGTATTTTTAGGTATTACATGTATGTGTCAATCATCATCGTTAATTATTGCAAAATGCAAAGTGGGCGGAAGGCGCTTTTGACAACATTTTCATCAGACCTACGTTTCGCCCTTTCCGTCGACGAATTTTAGGGCGGGTGAAACGAAGGTCTGTTATCAGGCTACAAACAAACAAACAAATAAAGCAAAGGGCATGAGTAAACAAACGAATAAAAAGCAAACAAGCAGAAAAGCAATCAACAAAAAATCACAAACAAACAAAACAGGTAAACAAACAAACAAGAACGTTAAATACGTACCACATCAGAATGATTAAAAAGGACATCCAAATGTAGATTTGTTGTTGCTGTTTGAAATGTCGTTTTGATTTCAATGTAATACTTCTTATTCACTGTAGGGTTTGGAAACAATGGTGAACCATTTGGACGCTTCGCATCTGGAGATAACTTGACCTGAGTTTCTTTACCACTGATTGATATTACTTTATCCTTTAATACAAGACAAATGCATCAAACGCAGGAAATTACCATTCACATTACGTATTCAGTTGTAAACAGGCTCTAACTTTTTACAGTTTGCACAAGAGTATAATTATGAAAAGCTATTAAAAGTGGAGAAATTCACCGTATTGTCTTTCAGTTCATCAGTACTTAAGTGAAGACTTGCTGATTTCTTGCCAATAAAAAGCTGTATTGTTATAGGCTCATCAATAGGCTGTGATATAAATGGATAAATGAATCCAAACCATCTCACGTTTACATCATCTGTTTTGTGAGTTCGACGAGGAACTGTATAAAATGCTCCTCGCAATGGGTTTATAATATGTACGTCATCTAGATGTTTTCCAAATTTAATATTAGACATTAATCCTGGCGAGTTATCTTGAATCCTACATTGATCCACTGAGGTCAAAAACGATCCTTCATTACCCCACCAACCCCGCGTTGTTTGGGTGGTAGAGCAAGGACCGGACGGGGATCGTCGTGGATAACAGGTACTATCTTGTACACACCAGCCACATTGGTGGTCACTTTGGGATCCCCAGGTTAGACACAATACACATTGTGAAAACATACGACACGGGTGGGTAGAATTAGGATGACCATGCATGATGTTCGATGATATTTTATACGCCAAGAAATCACCATGGGCAATCCCACTGAATCCGCCAAGCACCAGCAGTGTGTTCTGATTAAAAGCTGCTGCCACGTGAGAATATCGACCACGAATGTTTGAACTACTATTGTGAGTATCCGATATTATACTTGACCAAGTGAACTTTTTCAAGTTTAACAAATAAATATCGTTGCCATAACACGTCTCGTCGTCCTGGGCATAAAGTACGCCTCCTGCACAAAACAATGTAATATACTGTGTAAATATACACGCAACGTCATATTTCTGTGTCTGAATTCGCGTCGGAACATTTTACAGAAGAAATTTTCAATGTAACCCCAGGGGGCGCAAACACCAGAGTATTCATGTGGATAATCTATTAAAAATTGTAGAAAGCAATATTTCTCATGTGAAACGTCAATTGTCAAGAGCATTTGACACGTTCTAATCTGTTCAGCTCAATCAACTAACTTCACGCTGATGGATTTGAATTGAAATATTCAAATGTTCGTCATCATTACCTGCGACTCTTCAGACACAGCTGAGGGAATAACTTACCATACGAAAGCATGTAGTCACCCATGATAACTGAAGAATGATATGCTGAGGGATAACTTACCATAAGAAAGCATGTAGTCACCCATGATAACTGAAGAATGATATGCTGTTGGTTTGGGACCAGCAGACGCAGCAATAGGAAACCATACTTTGCATCCATATTGTACAGTAGTAACGTATCAACTTTTATACTTGTTCTAAATAAAATATAATTACGCAAATTGAGGATAGAATTACTATATATGCAATACCATAATCTCCCGTAGGCAGCTCTACGTACTTCCAAATCTGTGTCTGGGAGAATAGCTGTGAAAGGGAGAACTGCCGGCGAAAGGAATTGTTATTGTCTCGGTTATTGTCAGTAGAGGCATGCTGCGCGTGCTGTTTACATATCAAAGCGCGGAAACCACGCCCTCTCACCCATCATGACTACAATCCTGGCAAAAATATTGTGGAAGCGCGCGCAGAAATACAAATACGTGTTGACAGCTTATAAATTGAGTAAGTGAAAGTTTTGTGAAATGTATGTCAAAACCAACATTGTAGGGAGGAGCGGGGGAGGGGACAAAGACGCCAACATGTGTATGTGAACAGTGATATTTTAATTTACACCTCACAAGTATCCAAGGAAGCTAGTATAAAGTCTTGCATGCATAAAGGTCCATACACACCGGACGCGATTCGACAACGTGACGTCGGTCAATATCCTTGCATTATTCACCTCCACTTCGGGAATATCCTTGCACTATTCACCTGCACTTCGGTGAATAATTGTTAACTAAAGGCCAAAATACTTTCTGTTTCCGTTCAGTGTGTTTGTTTAGAATTGACGCCGATTTTCTTTGCGAAAGAAACTTCGTCATCCCCGCGTGATGATTGTGATGATATCTGGGATAGACGTATATGCATTGGAATATCATGCAGGTTACCTTACCTTCCAGAAACAACTCTATATCCACCAAAAACGATTAATGACTTTAGTGTTGGATAAAAGACACAAGAGTGTCCGATAAGGCGAAGATCTGATATCTTGGCAAGTTTATACGTTATTGTTTTCCAATCGTTTTGAAGAGCTAAGTCATAAGTATACATCTGATATGAGAATCCATAGTCTTGAGATTGACCTAGGAAGTAAACTTCGTTATAAACATTTGCTAGATTTGACGTGTTTTATTAACACACCACAATGTGTAGCATGCACATGTAATATGAGCACAAATTGCTGCAACTTGCAACAAAGCAACCTCGTATCCATTTCTTTCCTCTCTCACACCCTGCAGACGGTTCGGAGTATTCTGGATTTGAGGGAAACTTTTTTGTTTTATCTTTCCTCCCTGCATAATGATATGCAAGTGGTAAGCTGACTTACACAAAGTTTAAGTTGACTTAATTCCCTGAAATATCATATATTTGAAATTATTGAACAATACGAATGTTTTCATCAAGACGAATCACAAGCTACTGTATACACAGCATTGGGTAAAATGTGCACTCGTCTGTGGCTTGAGCTTGAATACATTATACAACACGGCGGATCATGCTGTATTTAAACAGATATACAAACTCGAGCCGAAATAGGCTATAGCTTGTGAAACGTATCAACAGGAAATAATTTTAACTGAGGAAATTGAGGAAAAAGTTTATGCCAATCAGAATTTTGTATCTGTGGATACATGACCCCATGCATTAAACATTGATTCTTAAAATTTTCTTCGTGAATTATGAAATGCGTTTTACAAAATCATACGTTATACATACCACCAAATACAATGAGTTGGTCGTCATGAACACTGGCACAATGAGACGCCAATCCAGGCGGGTTGTTACCTCCATGTACACGTCTCCACGTTATTGTCGAAATGTTAAAAATCCACAGGTCGTTAAGAAGAGTGCCATTTGCAAGCTCTCCACCAAAAACGACTAGTGTATCTTTATACGTGACCATTGTGTGGCGAAATCGAGCAGCCTACATTAATGATACTGTATCTCAAACAAGGCAGTTTAGTGCAGTCGTTAGTGGTATTCTACAATAAGCTGTCGCGCGGTTTGTGTCTGAACTATCTGAAAAAGATATCTCAAACATGATGGTTCAGTGTAGGTAGTGTTCTACAATAAGCTGCCTTGGCTTGCATGACGCATGTGTCTGAACTACCTGAAAAAATATCTCAACGCGGTAGTCCAGTATAGGTACAGTATAGTATTCTACAATAAGTTGTCGTGGTTTGTGTCTGAACTATCTGAGAAAGATATCTCAAGAATGCTGGTTCTGAATCAGTGTAGGTAGTACTGTAGTTTTGTAGGCTACTGGACTAGTTTTTTTACGCTTTCTCAGCCAGTCAGATATAGTCCAAACACAAACCACTGACCTACAATGCATGCAATAGTGCAGACAAATTCGAAAAATCGCTGCCAATACTAAATACAGTATATTCTTTATTAAATATATTCTGAATCTTAAAGTCAAAATAAACTCTTTATAGCACAGAATGCATGTTTATGTTGAAGATTGAAGAGAATCTAATCGTGAATTATTAAATACAAGTCATAACTGCCTGCAAACTACTTATTAACCTAGGTACCTAGCGCTCATCAAACTTATTGTGTGTTTTAAGCCGAAGCATTGACTATCGAGTATCGTCTGTATAATACATATATAGTCATAGACATAGAGCATGACAATTGCATGACAATTAAGCCAGTACTTACAGGACGATCTCCAATGGGTTGAATGAGCTGCCATTCCCTTTCGTCAAAATTAAACTTCACCAAATCATCGAACACTTCATTCAGATCAAATCCTAAAACATTTTCAGAAAAGACACGCTGATTGTAGTTTTTGAGTTTTTATAAGCGAGTAAGAATCTGCATCTAATTACATGAAATTGAAGGACGATAATAATTTGTTACAACTACAGTGGAAGACAAGTTGTGAGTATTAAAACTTGCTTTCTCTACCCCCTGTATATAAAAAAAACAGTTTTAATATCTTTTCTCATTCCTTCGAGAAGTTTTTTTCCACTGAGTTTTACCCTGGTTTTACATGGATCACTGCATGGTTATCCTGCATGGGGTGTGATAAAATGCAACGAGTAATCCCGGCAAACCAGGGTCATGTAGTTGTAAACATCCCCTTAATTATCTCTTAACCTCGGGCCTGTTTCAAACAATCGTTGTGAATTATTGATTGAACGAATTCAAACATATACACTGTTGTTGCGTTGATGCATTGTTTCAATACATGTCGTTATCGATAAAGCGTTTTCAATAATAAGCAGTTATTGGATGAGGCTGAGCATGATATCAAGAATTATTCAGACCGAGGTCAATGTTATCTGCCGAAGCGAAGCTGAGGCGGATAACATAGACCGAGGTCTGAATAATTCTTGATATCGTGCGAAAGCCGAATCCAATGATTGTTTTATTATACATTTAAAGACATGAGAAACGTATAAAACGATTCCTGTTAATGAGGTAGGAAAAGTACAATTTGAATATCAAACACCTTGCACAAAGTCAAAGGTCAGCTAAATATTATATTCTTTCACTATCCTTATCTGCCAATAATTTGGAGAGTTCACTTTCATTCAGCGAAGCAAATCTGCTGTCGGCCATTGTTTGTTTGTATTCCCGCGTTTTCCCGCGCTTATAGGTTCAAGCTTTTGGCCGCGCAAGGGTTTGGGCACGAGAGAGTCCAATAATTTTTTTTTTGGATGCAAGTTCGATCCAAAAAAACAATTATTGGACGCCGATGACGTCATCGGCGGAAAATACGCAATAAATGCCGAATACTGAAAATTAGCCGGTGCTTTCTGACCAATTAGAAACGAGAATACATATTAAATGTATAATAATCAATCGTATTGTCCAAATAAATCAAAATACGTCCACATGTAGTGGGTTTTTTCTTCGAAATCAATCGAAGTATATCGAGTCTTATTTATTTTCAAGCAAAGTTCACAAGCAGTCAATCAGGCACATATTGGTGGGCACAATAACTGCATCATTTTACCTCCAAATATCCAAAATGCGTTGTGAACATATACACCAGCATGTGCAAAACGACTTCGGAACACAGTAGAGTAATCTTTGATCAAATGCCAACTACCAGTCGTTACGTCATCACGGAGTGAAAATGAACATGACTCTCCAATAAAGTCGCCAGTACATTCACAACCTTTGCTCTGAATATACAACAGAATTACATGAACTTTAAAAATATGCTACTTTGACACTAGAGGTTAGAGCTAACGTGGCTCGATACAGTTTACAACAGTTTCACATTTTTAGACTTTATGCAGCAGATATCTGCATGTTCGTATGTTTTAGTGTTTATTCTTTGAAATGATGTTAGTTTAGTGACTGAAAAACGGCAAACTTCGCAAGGCTATAGTATCCGCATTTTACAACATTT